CCCCTTCGGAAGGATTAGGTAAAATGGAAAGCAATTCATCTATTATGGGTCTTAGCTCATCATTGTGAAGTTCGATGCGCGATAGTGCATCGGCATTCATGTTGCACTTGCCTTGCTTATATACGACACTAAAGTCATATTCACTTAACTTAAGGCGCCATCTGGTTAGACGCGAATTGGGTTCTTTTAAGCTCATAATCCATTGTAAGGGTTTATAGTCTGTAATAATTTTGAACTTACGGCCGAATAAATAGGGACAAAAATACTTAGTCGCCCATACGATAGCCAAAAGTTCCTTTTCTATCGTGCTATAGTTACTTTCGCTGGAGTTAAGTGTACGAGAAGCATATGCAATGGGTTTATCTGAACCGACTGTTCCCTGTGATAGAACTGCACCAATCGCCACGTTTGAGGCATCGGTTGTCAAAATAAAATCTCTACTGAAGTCTGGATACTGTAAGATTGGGTCATTTGTTAAGAGAGTTTTACAGTGTTCAAAGCAGTTAATATAATTTTGATCTAATGTTATCTTTGATCCCTTTTTAAGACATTGAGTGAGTGGTTTTGTGAGACGTGCAAAGTCTGGTATAAATTTTCTATAATATCCTAGAAGTCCTAGAAAACGCTTAATTTCGGTTGTAGTTTTTGGCAATGGGTATTTTTCGATGGCTTTAATTTTGTCTGGGTTGGGTTTCACCCCGTTTTTACAAATAACATGACCTAGAAACTCGGTTTCCAGCTTCAAAAACTCTGATTTATCCATCTGAATTTTGAAGTTGGATTCCCGTAGCCTTTTGAATACTTTTTCCAGATTTGTCATATGTTCTTGTAAGGATGTACTGAAGACAATTATGTCATCTAGATACACTAAACAAATTTCGTTCTGTAAGTTCTTTAATACGTTGTCCATCACCCTTTGGAAGGTCGATGGACTATTTTTCAGGCCCATTGGCATCCTAAAAAATTCGTAATGCCCATTCTCTACATTAAAAGCAGTTTTGTGAATATCCGCGGGATCCATTTCTACCTGATAAAATCCACTGGCTAAATCGAGCGTGGTAAAGTACTGACATTTGCCCAGTTTGTCTAGAACATCGGTTATATTAGGAATAGGATATTTGTCATCGACTGTCTTTTCGTTCACCTTTCTGAAGTCCACAACAAGACGCCATTTTATTTTGCCGGAAGCGTCCGCCTTTTTGGGTACAATCCAAATAGGAGAGCTCCAAGCAGAATCCGATGGTCTAATTATATTTTGCTCGAGCATCTTATTGATCTGGTCTCGGACTTCCTGTCGGTGGACATACGGGCATCTGTAGCTCGTAGTATGTACGGGGATTTCATCATGTGTTTTAATTCTATGTTTGATCTTGTTGGTGAATGTTAAAGGTTCACCATCAAGGTAAAACACGTCGGCATATGAGGCACATAACCGTTGTAGGTTTGCTAGCTCTTCAGGATTAAGATGATCGGTGCGAAGACGGGATAGAACATTTTTAGCGCGATCCGATAACGTTTCAGTAAACTGGCACTCAACATTATATATTTCGGCTTCTACCGGACGGTCCATTGAAAAAATTACATCATTTGAGCTGTTATTGGTAATTTCGACCCAACCACGATTATTAATTACTTTCGTTATACAATCAGAGATTATGCAGTTGCAAATTATTTGATTTTCAACTACTACGTCACCGTCCTTTGAGTTTATAGGCAACCTAACTAATTTTGATGACTGCGTGGGTATAATTTCTTCATATAAATTTGCGTTACGTGAGTCATACATTTCGATGGGAATTTTTGCATTACGAGTAATAAGTAATTTATTTCTAAGATCGATATTAGAACCCCATATGTCTAGTAAATCAAACCCTATCAGTCCGTCGAAGTAATTATGAAATCTATAAATGAACAAGGTTATATTAACTCGTTCATTAAATTCTAAAGGGCATGGGAGAGTTATAGAATAATCATTTTTACTTGTCGCGTGAACATTGGTGACCTCAAATGGGTCATAATTCAGTGGAATATGGCTATAATATTTTCTTACAGCTTCGGGACTAATAAACGATTGGTTTGCGCCGGTGTCTATTAAGAATTTCAGTGGGGGATTACTTGTCTGAATGTAACCGAGTTGCCTTTGTATGTGGAAATTTATTTCTATTTTTGTTTTTCTGATTTGGGACACTTCCGAAAATCCTCATCATTAGTCGGGGTGAAACTACTATCTACTTCCTCTACGATAGGATCTTCCGCGTGGTTATACGGTGGCTCGTATCCATAGTTAGGATATTGTTCGTAAGTACAGTACTCTTGATTATAGTTATAGTCAGGATAGTCGTATTCATAGTACGCGTCGGTGCTATAGTCGTAGTCAAAATTCGTCTCGTTAAAGTTTACCTCCCGTGTTTTAAAGTAATTGCTCGGCGGTGGGTTGCCAAATCGTCTCCAGTCATGTCCAGTCGGTGGTAAGGGTTTCGGAACAAAGGGAGTGACACCGCTCATAGGAAAAGGGCGCGAATTATTATTTAAATTGAAGCCCTGTGGTTGCTGAGGTCTGTTAAGAAGCTTAAACACATTACTCTGGGGGTTATAATTTGGTGGAGGAGCACGCATCATCTGTTGCGTACGAGTGGGACCGTGTGGTACATGCATCTGGGGTGGTAGATTGGGCCTCCAACCCTGTGCAGCATGCGGTTGCATAGGTGGCTGTCTAAACGAGTTCAGTATATTATTACCCTGTGGTCTAGGTAGTGACGTCATGTTAAACGTGGTAGGTTTTGGAAGGATATTATTTAATGGTAGGCTATGTGAAGGTTGAGTCCATTCCTTCTTATTCTGACTGCCTTCATTTCGTTGTTGGAGGTAAAGGGTGTTTAATTCCTCCTGTACGAATTCAAATGCTTTCTCCATACTTTCGGGTCGCATACATCTTATTCTAAACCCTAGGGGGTCTTTTAATCCGTGTAAATAAGCTTGCAAGGTCAGTTTTTTATAGTGTGCGCGCTTAGCTTCAATTGTCGTACTAATCGTTTCATGTAAAGTGACATACGTCATTATTGTACTAAATAAACTTTGAACTCGCTCGTAAAATTCTTGCGGGGTACTAGACCCTTGGGTTTGTAGTGATAAATCACTATATAATGCGGTTTCGTCGCGATGTTTGGCGAAGTTATTTATAAGAGCGCTTTTGATGCCGGCCCAGGTTTCCGGTATTCCATTTGAATTTATTAGCCTAGCCGCGGACCCAGTTATTTTATTTAAAATCCCGTTAATAAGAGATAGATTGGCTAGTTCATATCCGGGCTCATTTCGTACGTGGGCTAATACCAGTTGATCGCACAGGTTAATAAAGCGCCTAAGGATGTACGGGTTACCGTCAAATTCGGGCAAAACTCTAAGTGACTTATAAATTAGGTCTATTTCATTTGATTGGGCCATACTATCGGTTTCTAAACATCTGTTCTCGTCTATAATACTAAGCTTAGAAGTCCTACTACTATCTAACCTAACGTTCCGTGTTCCCCTTGGATGGAAAATTTTGCAAGCTTTATACTAACACAGTTAAAATGCAATAAAATAAGAAAAGTGTATATAAAATAAGGATAGAGTAAAAAAAAATAATTACGGAACTAGGAAGGGTAAGGATTGAAAGATTCAAGCACTTACAGCATTACTTCTTCTTGCGGAATCAATGCCTGGATTCGCCTCTGGACTGGTGCTCCTGTAGGTTCTGTATCTTCTTGGTCACTCTTGATTCACTGACTCTACTTTAGAAGATTCTACCGACTGCGCCAATTATGTGGGCTCCAGCCAGAGGTTGCAAAAAAAGCAATCTTTATTTAATATATATTTAATTTAAAGTAATTATTACAATTAATTCTTATAACTAAGTGAGGTGACTCTAATTCGATGTTTGAATGTAGAATGGATTCACACGGTAAAATATTAGAACCAGGTAATACAAGACAGTAGACACGTTATGCTGACACGGCGCCTCGTGATCGTCGTAAGCCGATGCAACGCAGCAGATTGCCTGGATTAGGGCTGCGTAACAAGTGCAATCAATAAATCAAAAATCAAAATATTTACAATGATTCAACATTAAAGATTTTTCCATTCCGTGTATACATGAATTAATTTCCAACGCAGCAGATTGCCTGGATTAGGGCTGCGTAACAAGTGCAATCAATAAATCAAAAATCAAAATATTTACAATGATTCAACATTAAAGATTTTTCCATTCCGTGTATACATGAATTAATTTCCTTTAAATAAGTTAAGTTTATTGTACAATTGTCGTTTTGATTTATTTTTGATATGTTCCGTTTCTTTTTTACATATAATGTAACCTTACGTCAATAAATTTTTCAACTTACGGATTGCTAAAATAAAAATAATAAAGCTAAGTATCTAATGAAATTACACAAACAGAGACAAAAGTAACAATTACCATTATTTAAAGTTCTGGTAACAAATTACTAAAAATGATTACAATACAAATCTACTCCATGTACTCCATTGTTCTGTTTTACAAATGTTTACGCGTGTATTGGCCAACCTTGGCAAAACATTTGTAGGGATGCTTTAAAATCGGTATAATTGTTTCAAATATGATAATAGTTGTTAGTTTAGAGCTTAAAATATAACTTATTCTACATGTACTTACCGAAAGTAATACACTCCGGCTGTTAAATTGCTTTTTCGGGCATTATTCTTGCAACTTTTAAATATACATTGCGGCATTGTGAAACGTCTTTATATTGGCTGTGTTTCAAGTCAACCAAAACGAAATAAGAACTCACGTCTCCAGTGCGATGTTATTTACTTCGCCTTATTTTTTGCGCCGACCCGATATCTAGTTGGTATTGTTGATCGAAGGCCAACACTGAACAAATTCTGCACAGACTAATATGATGAAATCTGTCATCGGTCATTCTGTCAATTACCGCGTCAAACGTCAAACCGTCAAACTCAAGTGTCAAATCTAATCAAATCTTGATTGTTTTACAAATCTGTGAAACACCCATTTATTTTCAAGGAGAATTTTATAAAAAAATATTCTTATCATCTTTAGAAAGTTCTGCGTTTTGCCGTTCGTTATTATTCCACGTCGCAGGTGTGTTATTCGATATTTATAGTTAAAAGTATGGAACCAATTAACCACCCGTTTTTATATATTTGGTCGAATGTATGTTGTCGTAGGCTTCGTGTTTTATTTGGTTTTCTTATTATTTGTAAGAATTGTTGCTGTTAATTTGTTCGTATAAAAATGTTGATTTTCTAACAGGCACAAATGACGAACCAGGCTTCTCCGGTCGAGGAGCAAGAGAAGCTGTTAGATGAGGCGCTAAATATCGTTAAAGTTCAGGTTAAGATTTACTTCTTTTATGATTGTAAACCACTATTTAAAATGGTAGGAATTAAGCATAAATATTTTGTGACTAGAATAAAAAGAAGTTTTGATAACTTTACTATTGTTTTCTAAATAGAATAGACGCATATATTACATATCTTATATGATTAGGAATATATTTTAAGTACACAGTTATTTTAAGTACTTGTAAAGTACTTAATTATTATATGTATTATTTTGTAATTCTGAAGTCAAAATATTTCTAATTTATCATTTTTGAACAAAATAATCTCAATGGACAAATACTAAGAGGGATACCCTCTCAAAGACCAATTGCTTATCTCAGATTTGAATTTCATATAGTTAAATCAAGTACAAAATACCATGGAAAAATAAATGGATACTACATCATTATTGCAAGGTCTTATATTGGTTAAAATTATCATCCACTCCATTAAAGCTTATAACAAGTCCACTGCTGAACATAGGACTCATAGAATAGAATAGAATATTTTTTATTTAATATACATTACATGTGTAATTCTTATTGAAAGTCATTTTTTACTTTACCACTGGTTTGAAAAAAACCCCCTGTCCTGGGAAGAACCAGCAAGAAACCCAGCGGGACCTTTTTTTAAAATAAATTTTACAATATAAATGATTATGAACTATTCACTAAAATAAATTTTAGAAACTGCTTGGAAGCGACCACCTCATTCCCAGGGGTTATTATCAACCATGTATTCATTTATACTATAATAACCCTTTTTATACAGTTTCAGCTTAATAAAACATTTAAACTTGGTAATAGAGAGAACCTGTACACTTTCCGGGACCTTGTTGTAATAGGGTATACATTGCCCCAAAAATGAATTACTGACTCTGTGGAGTCGAGAAACTGGCATCACTAGCTTGTGTTTGTTCGTAATGTTTACAGAATGTATATCACTATATGTTTTTAGTGAAAATAATTATTTAAAGATTTTTTGATCGAAAAATATTGGTTAAAAGTACTTTTGATCAAGATTGGTAGTTAAAATCACTTTTGACTAGAAATATTGAGTAGAAAAAGTGTTTCTTTATAAAATTATAAATATGATAGAGCCATGAATATGACGGCTCCGTGGCGCCACGGGTTCGAATCCCGCACAGAACAAGTATTTGTATAGCCTACAAATAATTGTTCTGGGTCTGGATGTTTTGTACTCGTGCAATTTATGTTTGTAAACTGCCTCCACGACATAGGAGAAAATCCTAGTGTGGGGGTAATGTCATTTTTTAAAAAATGCTGCAGATATATTAATTGTATGGTTGTAATACGAATGGGTCGGCTCGACCAGGGAAGGACCACACTCACAGAATACGAGCATAAAATAGCAGCTTAAAGCTGCTGTGTGTCGTATGGTTAGTGTCGTGAACCACTTTTTATTGCAAAAGAGGCATTCCATCTTAGTCCTCACGGCTGACAATGCATCAGCATTTTGATTCACAAACGAAGATAGATGTCTATGGGCCACAGCAACCACTTACCATCAGGTGGACTAGTTTAATGGTGGGAAAGTTTGATGGCAATCAATTTAAGGACAAACTAGTTTTATCTTGGCTAAACTAGTTTTTCGTAACTATCTTGTTGGGACTAGTAATATTAGTCACAGTAAATAAACCTATTTGTCCAAAAATTAATGCAGATTTGCTCAAAACTGGTTTTGACTGGATGTACAATAAAGTAATATGCATATATGAGGGCGAATTTCGGCAGGGGCTACCCCTATTCCACTTCTATTTTACAAAAAATTATACCAAAATTCTTCAAATTGAGACAACATTATGAAATTTTAGAAAATTTCCAAAACAGAATTGGGAGTGTGGTGGGATGTTCCCCCCTCTCTTCCTTCACGTCCTCCCATTTCAATATTAAAGGTAATAGATTCTCCCATGTTGCCACTGTGTTTTTTACATACAGCTGGTAAAGATGATCATAACAATAAAAAATAATGTCTCAAATATAATATACTCATATTATTTATTACCTAAGAATGATTGTGAATTATTTACCATAGTTTCTAACATATTGCGTCTCTTTTTATGAATATGTCACACAATCTATATCTATACATCTATACAAATAAATAAAATTGAAGTGTCTGTTTGTAAAAAAAATTACAGCTTTTTACTAAATGCATATGAAAGTATATACAGTATTTATAAGAAAAATACAATTTTTAAAATTATTACAAGCTTTTATTTAACTTTCAATGAAAAAAACTGTTTGTTCGGGTGGAATCTTGCAACTCAATTTTGAAGCAGATATTTTCAACCAATTGAGCTGAAATTTTGTATTCACGTTAAGTTTGGATAACAATGCATGGTTAGCTGTGTGACGTCATTCTAAATCCAACATGGCGGAACACCCAAGGTGGTGGACTAGTTATTTATTAATGCACTCCTACAATATGGGTATCAAATGCAAGGACTTGCTGAGAATACGAATAAGATTGAGATCATAAGTCCGTTGCTTAAATCTTTTTAACGTTTACAAGCTACAATACAAGCTTTTATTTAAATAATAAAAGCTTGTATTTAAAAAAGTTTTTTACTTTTAATTTATTGTGTGTCTGTCTGTCTGCCTGTTTCTTTCGGGTAATCTACGAAACGGCTGAACTGATTTTGATGGCACTCTCACTGGTAGATAGCCATTAGGAGTCACTTAGGTTACTTTTATTTTAGAAACAAGAATTATTGTTCTGCGGACAAAAAACACGCGGGCAAAGTCGCGGGGAATAGCTAGTAAAATAATAATGTTGTTGTTTGATCATCAAGTAAATTGATATGACCTCATTAAATATATATTCAATATGATAAATTCCCCAACCCGGCTGGTCCCCGTGGGGAATTAGACCACCACCCACCAATCTCAAAAAAACCAAACAAACATACACTTCTAAACAAACATACACTAGAAAACAACAACATTAACAACAAAGATAAATGTAATGCCCCCTTTAAAGAAAGTATCCAAATTGCAGCACTTAATGTTCTAACCCTAAAGTCGGACGAGAGTCTAACAGAACTAAGTAAAGCACTAAATGATATCAAATGGGACATTCTGGGTCTGAGTGAAGTAAGACGAGCTGGAGAAAACATACAAGAATACGAGGACTTCCTTCTATATCACATAGGCGAAAAAGAAGGCCAAAATGGGGTAGGATTTATTCTCAAAAAGCACATGATACAATATGTTGATGAGTTCATAGGAATTTCGGACCGTTTAGCAGTGCTAAATATAAAATTACCCAATTACGAAGATATGTGGTCTATTGTGCAAGTGTACTCTCCAACTGAACAAGCAGACAAAAAGACAATTGAAGAATTCTATGAGAATCTAAACAGTACTATAGAGAGACATACGCACAAAAACTTAATAGTGATGGGAGACTTCAACGGCCAGACAGGTGAAAGCTTGCCAGAAGAAAGACGTGTTCTCGGACCTTTTACATATGGAACTCGACGAAGCAAAAATGGAGAAAGACTCATTAATATGTCTTTCGAAAACAACCTCTATATTCTAAACAGCAAATTTAAAAAGAAAGGTTCAAGGAAATGGACATGGGTATCACCAGGAGGCAAATACAAAAATGAGATTGACTTTGTTCTCACCAACAAACCAATGTGTTTCACCGATTTAAATGTTGTGAACAAATTTAATTTCAACACGAACCATAGAATGGTCAGGGCAGATCTCACACTACGACATATAAAGACACAAAGACCCAGGAGGCACTTTGTTGGTAAGTTGAGTATTCAAAACCTAAAAGAAGCTGCAAATAAACTGACTGAAAGATTTGCAGACTTTGAGAAAGAAACCAAGAACCTAGATATTCAACAGAAATACGACTGGTTTGAGACTTCAATCAAACTAGCAAAAAGTACCTGCACTAATAAAGAAAAGAAGAAAAGCTATTTATCAATAAAAACAAAAATCTACTCGAAGCAAGGAAACAAGTAATCAGTTCCAGAGACACAGAGAATCGTAGAAAACGCATATCAGAGCTGAGTAAAGATATAAAACAGAGTATGAGAAGGGATAGAAAACAAAACAGAAGAAAAAAAATAGAAGAGCAAATCATTAGAACAGGAGGAACAAAAAAAGCATATAAAGAACTGTCAGAATCAAAAGATTGGGTCACAAAAGTTAGAAATGAGAAAGGAATAGAACAAAATAGAAGATCAGACATAAAAGATATTGCTACATCATACTATAAACAATTATATGAGAACACACAAGAAGAACCTGGCGAAGTAATAGTACTAAACGATGATGAGGATGAGAGCATACCCTATATACTGTAACGAGAGGTAGAAGTAGCATTACAGTCCCAAAGTAAAGACAAAGCCCCAGGGCCAGATGGCATTGAAAATGAAATCCTATTAATGGCAAAAAATGTCCTGTTACCAGTTATCACGAAACTATTTAATGAAATTTTCGCAAACGAAGTTATCCCGATACAATGGACGCAATCTAATATAGTATTGTTATATAAAAAGGGTGATAAACTTAATATAGGTAATTATCGCCCGATCAGCCTTATGTCCAACTTATACAAAATATTTGCGAAAATACTGCTAAGAAGACTCGAAAGAAAATTAGACGACAACCAACCAAACGAGCAAGCAGGTTTTCGTAGAGGGTACTCAGTATTGGACCACATACATGTTATGAGGCAGATTATAGAAAAATCCCATGAATACAACCAATTATATTACATGGCATATATAGACTACAGCAAGGCTTTCGACTCTTTATTTCACAATAAGATATGGCAGGCCCTAAAAGAACAAGGTATAGAAAGCAAGTACATAAGGATACTGAGAGAGATATACAAGAAAAGTACAGCATGCATACAGTTAGAAAAGAAAGGAGAACCATTTAGCATACAAAAAGGGGTGCGACAGGGCGACCCGCTATCCCCAAAACTTTTTTCTGCGGCCCTTGAAATGATATTTAGAAGACTAAATTGGGATGGATATGGAATCAGTATCGATGGAACTTGGTTAACACATTTAAGATTCGCAGACGACATCGTTCTCTTTGCAAAAACCCCACATGAACTGAATGTCATGGCAAATGATCTGGCATTAGAAAGTCACACGATGGGATTGAAAATGAACATGGAGAAAACGAAAGTAATGACCAACGGACCTAAGAATGAAAACATCAGGGTTGGCCAAAGTGAGATAGAATACGTTGATGAATACATCTATCTGGGCCAAATGATCTCACCCACAGACAACATGGAAAAAGAAATCAACAGGAGAGTAGCTAACGGATGGAAAAGATATTGGAGCATGAAGGAAATAGTGAAAGATAAAGAACTGCACATATCCATTAAATCCAAAGTATTCAACACATGCATTCTTCCTGTATTGATGTACGGATGTCAAACATGGGCTCCTACTAAATTAAACAGTAAGAAATTAAAAATATGCCAGCATTCGATGGAGCGAAGCATGATGGGAATCAGGAAAAAGGATCGAGTCAGGTTAGAAGACATTAGGAAAAACACAAAGGTTCGGGACATAGCAACAAAAGTCAGGAAATTAAAGTGGAAATGGGCTGGGCATATGAGTAGAGGGAAGGAAAAGTGGAGCAGGAAGGTCACAGAATGGTACCCTAGGAATGGCATAAGAAAGAGGGGGAGACCCCGCCAAAGATGGGAGGACGACCTGGTCAAATTCGCGGGTGTGACTTGGAACCGGGTTGCCAAGGATAGAAACGAGTGGAAAAGGTTGGAGGAGGCCTTTGCCGATTGGCAATCAGCAGAAGACAATGTAGATTTTATATGACTTAGATATTAAGAAATTGTATTACGTACTGTTGAATAAATGGCTTTATTATTATTTATTATTATTATTATTATGATAACTCCATCAAAATGACCAACAATAATGTTTTATTATCAATCCAATATAAGTATTTTGGAAATGTATTTAACATTTTCAAAATTATGTTCCCAAAAGAATCTTGATTTCTATGTATCAGAAATTAATGAACGCAATGCACGAATCGGTTGGCTCCACCTGGGGAAGGACCACGCTCTCATAGAATACTAGCGTAAAATGGCAGCTTGACACTGCTGTGTTTCGTATGGTGAGTGTAGAGAACTAAAGACCCAGTTTACTAGAAAAGAGGCATTCCATCTTGGTCTTCACGGGTGAATACGCATCTGCATTTTGATTATTTATTGAGAATAGATGTAGATGTCTATGGGTCGCAGCAACGACTTACCATCAGGTGGACTGTGTGTTCGTTTGTCACCCTTATTCTATAAAAAAAATGGATAAAAAGAGAATTAATAATTATCACCTTTTTATCAAATAATAATTCTAGGCTTAACTAATTGAAGATTAAATTGCAGGCATTTCAGATGAAAAGATGCCTGGACAAATCGAAGCTGATGGACGCTCTCAAACATGCCTCTACAATGTTAGGGGAGTTGAGGACATCTCTGCTGTCACCAAAAAGCTATTATGAGCTTTGTATCCTTTTCTAATTTTAGACTATAACAATGTATCCTACTATATTCTTTTTATTTTGTGTAGATATATAATTACAAATGTAACATAAGTGTAAAATAAGTGAAGTTAACACTGCCAGTTAAAAGATTGAAACAGACAAAAATGCACTATGCAAGAAATGTCATTCAAAATAATCTTGCATTAAAACATACGGGTGAGGATAGATATTTGCTTGTACAATTTGATTGCATAACTTATTGCACACTTTCTATTTCATATTGGGCAACAAGATGCTCGGCCAGTCTCCACCTCTAGGTTGTCGACTTATCACACATTTGTTTCATCGTCATCTTGTGTACAGCAAACAAAAAATTGTACATCCAACTTCAATATAAATTATCAAAGATTTGATCAAATTTATATGGGACCACTTGAGTAGCACCAGCTTTCAAATAAAAAAGAATCACATAAAAAAACCATGCAGTCGAATTGAGTACCTCCTCCTTTTTGAAGTCAGTAGAAAAATGGATAAAAATTATTTGCCACTGCCTACCTTTCTATATGATAACAATGTGGGTGTCTTCAAGGCTTTTAAGCTAAGTCAGTATGCTTTACCGTTATTAGTTGAATCAACACTTAAGGTGGCACAAGTCGCGGGCTCGAACTCGCTGGTGGGCGCGGTCAAAAAGCACGCTGTCTCACCTGGCATCGTGCCCGACAGAGATAGTATCAGTGATGAGCATATCGACACTAGTATTCACGCATGTCTTGTTCGTACGACGTTCCGAACCGTTAGAATAAAAAGGAAGTTACACGAACACGATGCAACATCTATATACTAATATAATAAAGCAGAAGAGTGTTTTTGTTTGTTTAAACGTGCTAATCTCTGGAACTACCAGTCCGATTTGAAAAATCTTTTTTGGATATTATAGCCAGATTCATGTTGAATAGTATAGGCTATATAGCATTAGGCTATATATCTCAGCTAGCCTATATTTGTTAAAGAAGTCAGAAGAAAAAGCGCTGTTATGGTTCGGGATACGTAAATACAATGTTCTAGAAAAATATAGATCTTTACTCCGTCTAAAAAAAAGTTGCGATACCATATGTCTATTTCTTATATATAAGCCACAATTAGGCATTTTGTGACAAAAAAAAATAATTATTAGGCACCTTACGAACGAAAGTTACTTCATTATCAAGACAATTTTATGAAGATAAACTTCGTTCTTTATACCATGTTTATATAGTACATAGTTTAAGAGATAATGTAAAATTAAAATAATTCAATACTTGGCTTGACACGCAAACAACGCATAACCCCTAGCCCGGTGCGAACTGAGAAGCCAGTACTGAAAGCTTCTATGAGCGAGGTTAGGTTAGCCGTTAGTTCAATCGTTATCTATATCTACACAAACAAATAAAATTGAAGTGTCTGTTTGTAATGTCAAAATAACAGCTTTTTACTAATTGCGTATGAAATTGTATACGGTACTTATAACATTAACACAATTTTTAACATTTTTGTATGTCTGTCAGTCTGTTTGTTCCGGTTAATTTCCAAAACGGCTGGACCGATTTTGACGGGACTTTCACTAGTAGATAGCTCATGTTATAAGAAGTAACTTAGACTGCTTAAATTTTAGAAAAAAATATTAGGTGTCTTTGCAACAAAATTAACGCCCTAAACTAAACGCGGACGAAGTCGTGGGGAACAGCTAGTAACTAAAATATAATTAATTGAGTACTTTTATCTATCTCCCGGGTGAGCGTAACAATGATTAGTTACATCTTTATTTCTGAACTCTTTCATTTCACGTTGCTATGGTATTTTGAAAGTTTAAATTTAATTAATAAGTATAAGAGGTTGATAACAAATTTATCAAGAATCATTTCTTGCCTACACACTTTTCATGTATCGTGTACGTTTTTCTTTAAAACTGAAAAAAACCGCGCATAATATGCCGACAGATAAAATAAAAGTACTCCATTAATCATGACAATTTTTCCATACATTACAATCAAATAAAATATTTTATTGCAATTATAAAATGCTTGAACTAGGTGTCATGTCCATGCCACGCATCTCGGACACGTGATGACGCGGGTGAAACCGCGATATTATTAGGTGCTGCTTTATCGCTTCATATTATACCTTTGTGGCTCTATATACCTAATATAGATTGCTTATTTTATTATGTTTCGTTGTTCCCGAGTGGTCATGCAGCGATCACTCAAGAGTTCGGCTTCGAACGTGTGTAACTCGAAAATTATCTCACGGGAACGAAATACCTGAATAAACCGTATAGGCGCAGTGGCTTAGCAATGAATTGTTGTACTGGGAGCCGCGGGTTCGAATCAATCGCACAAGTATTTGTATGGCCTACAAATAATTGTTCCGGGTCTGAATGTTTGTAAACTGCCTCCACGATACAGGAGAAAATCCTAGTGTGGGGTAACTTTTTTTAAAAAATAAAAAAAAATCCAGACTATAACCTATCTCTGAGCAAAATATCATCCAGATCCCTTTAGCCGTTCTGGCGTGACTGAGTAACATACATCCATTCATCCGTCCATCCAAATATCCAAACTTTTGCTTTTATAATATTTAGATAATAATCGTAATTAGTTCTGCCTACCTATAAATTGTTTTCAAAAATACTTACCTGTCTTCTTACTTTTTTATATATACTCAATAAGTATCACTAAACGTAAGCACAGGTTTCTATCAAGACAAGTGACCCATCAAGATTGTTTTCTTAGTACTGACGTACCTACCTAAAGTTTACAATTTTGTGGCCACGACGTGGCGACGTTTTGTGACATTTTGTTGTATTGTAGGTAGTAGGTATCTAGGTAATAACAGTAGGTACCTATGAAAATCCCACATAATATACTTTGTTTGTCCGCCGCAAAAGTCGTCTAATAAATAATTAAACTGTTTTGTAATTCTTTATTTATTTATAAAACTTGCATTGAGAGCCGTGGTAGCTCAGATGGTTAGCGCTCGCTGTAAGTATCACATTACGCGAGCAATCCGGGTTCGATCCCCGTCGGCACCAATTAAATTGTTGCAATTTTATATACTTAGTAATCGAATATAGACTTTACTTTTTTTTTTTGCTTTTATAATTATGTTATATTACAGACGTAAATTTTAAAATATTATCTGTCGTCCAAAACGCATCATCTCTTTCAATTATAACAATTTTCATGCCGTCGTTTGTCTTTGGCGTCCAAATTACAAAATAGCAAATCTTTTCGTTTCGAATAAAACTCGAATAAGCGCGCGTCACCGCCTGTGCATGTGTGTGTAAGCATCGTCCTCCCGCACTGCACCGGGGGAAACATTATTCAGTGAGATGCACGATAATTCATAGTAACATGCGCGCGTAAAAAAATACGAAAAGGCCTTTGGAAGAAGGGGTTTTATGAAAAAACCACTGCATGAATCAATTACAAATAAAATTTATTGAATTCTTCGATAATTAGGCTGTGTCGGTACCGACTTTGTTTTGGAAATTTTACACTTCTTTTATTACTAATTTACGCCCAAAGTTGTGTTAAAATTGGCAATAAAAACGAATCTTTGGTAGCTCGTAACTTTTTAATAACATTTTATTTTACTATTCTGTTTCCGTACAGACAAATTTAATAATGAGACAAAACGATATCATGTTTAATTTTGGATGTACACTGTCAAACAGCGGAGTAAAACCCCTCCGAAATTTCTATGGAAATTATGCCGACTAGTGTCACCTTAACAGACACTTAATTTTTCGTGACACGCCTGGCGTGTCAAGCGCCACAGACTTTGTTGACACGCCTATTGTACCATCAGCCATGTGTAAAAATAATTTTCTTTTTTTTTGCTTTTTTCACTTGTTTAGACCTAATTAAGTTTAGTTGACATCAAACATCAGTTACAAACGGAAGAATACTTGTTTTTAGTGGCTAGCTACGTGTTTTCTTTGAAATTGAGAGTAAGTTACTTTTTTTATGCAGAGATTACAAACCTTTTGTACTATTTTTTGTTTTATAAAAAATCATTTATATAAGTAGGTACAGCTAAATCACCCTGGAAACCCTTGGTTTTTATTAAATTAAATTTTCACCTAATAATAACATTTGTAAATATCAAACAATCAAGAACCTTATTTTGGAAAAAATAAGAATATTATATAATATTATGATTCATTGATATTTACAAATGTTAAATATTATTTAATGTTATACAAATGTAAAAGTAAAGTCTATCTGAAACCGTCTAATTAGTAAGAATAGCAAAACAAGTGTTTTCAAAAGGAAAAAAATGCCGGCGCTGTACGGCGGCGGATTGTCAAAAGACTATTTATTAGCGAACTTTTTTATGTATGAATGGTTTCGAACTGTTTCAAGCAAAAATTGACCTTATACCATATCACAAGAACCATATGATAGTAATAAGACGGCAGTTCAACCATTTTAAGCAAAATTAAATAATAAGACAAACGCATTGTTTTTTTAACAGGAGACATGTTTCCAGAAACTTGTTTACAACTTGAGTTTGTGAGCGATCGCAATGAGTGCTATTATTTGTTACTTATTAGACTATTTATCCACAACATGATTTAAAAAACCCACAAAGTAAAAAGAGTACCATGTACAAGTTAAAAAAAGGTTGTCAACCCCTAAAAATTTCAAATTTTCAAAATATCCAGAAACGAAGCTGTATGCATGAACTACTTGCAAAATAATGAATATTTTGTTCTGGATAAATCTTCCAAAAACGCAATTTGATATCCAAAAACCCATTATGACAGTCAAGGGATTGTGAGCATCATGACTACAGAATAGAACATTCTATCTTTAGTGGTGTGGAATAAATATTATACCTACAGTGACTGTTATCTGAGAAAAATAGTATGGCGAAGATTAATTATTATCCTGTTTCTAGTAAAAAAAAAAAATACTAATTACCACAACCCACACTAGTATTTTCCTGTATCATGGAAGTGTTGAACATACTAAAATTACACATTAATTCCAGATCTAGTCACAACCAAACGCTTAGCCACTGTGCTACCGAGGTATGAAATCGTTACGTTTCATCATTTATTTCAAAAAAAAATCCTTAACATACAAACAGATATGGCGATAACAGATGAACTGCGCCACTTGGAGCTCTATTTGCTGGAAGAGTTCCAGAAGGGCAGGAAGGTGGCTGACCTGTATGAACTTGTCCAGTATGCTGGGAACATTGTGCCTCGGCTGTATTTGTTGATCACGGTTGGTCTGGTTTACATCAAGACCAACTCCAACTTGAGGAGGGACCTTCTGAAGGTATATATAATACCATCATTATCATCATTACAGTTCTTCACAAGTCCACTGCTGAACATGTAGGCCTCCCCCAAGGAATGCCACAAAGCACGGTGCCGCGCCACCTGTATCTATTGACTTCGTGCATGTGTTACCAGGTCGTCACTCCATGAAGTGGGGGGACGCACTACACTTTGCCTGCTAGCCATATAATATAGTTTTTTTATAGGATAGAGTGACAAACAAGCACACAGTCCACCTGATTGTGTATTCAATTCCATAATGTGATGACGCAACATGACACTTATACAGCTATTCTTAAAATTGCAACAATAAAACCAAGTAACCATAAGCACAGTGAGATAATTTGAAATATGCCATAAATGGCATACTCCACTGTCATATTGTAATTAAATGTGATAGGGCCATGCTGCAACTACACTATGGCACGAATGGGTCGGCTCAACTGGGGTAGGACCACGCTCTCACAGAATACCAGCGTAAAACAGCAGCTTAATGCTGTGTTTCGTATGGTGAATGTAGAGAACCGGAGACCCTTTTTACTGGTTTGGCTGTTGAAGGAAAAAGGAAAGATCCCGAGCCGGGCAAGGTGTTCTGCCTGGAGAGAGGCCTACGCTCCGAACGGTAGTTCAGAGCTATTCTATATATACTGCTTTACTTCGAAACTTTGATAGCGCGATTTAGACTTCGATGTGTTTCGCTTGTGGCGCGACGACAGCGAGGTATTCCATATTAGTCCCCAGGGATGACAATGCATCTGCATTTTGATTCTTAGTCAAGGATAAATGTAGATATATATGGGTCACAGTTTCCACTTATATCAGTGTCATCAGGTGGACTGTGTATTCGTTTGTCACCCTTATCCTATAAAAAAAAGCCTACCTATACTCCGACTAGCGATGGAGAGCATAGTCATAGTCATTTATTCCATAGAACAATATTACATTGTATTGGAAATTTATTACATGGATAAAGACCAACATTTACATGCAATTATTTTAATGAAAATTATAATCGATAAAATTTAAACATCATTTAACAAATTAATTAAATACTTTTCATGTCATAATATATTATAAATTATACAGTACATAAACAATTAAAATTAACATTCATTCAGTTTATTTTTGTCATTTAAGGAATCGTCAACTGAGTAGTAGGTTTTTTTAATTAATAATGATTTTAATTTATTTTGAAATTTGTGGTGGCAAAAAATAGTTTTAAATGAGGTAGGCAAAGAATTAAATAGTCCAATGGCTTGATATCTTGTGCTGTAGCATACAACATTCAATGTTGGCGTGATAGAAATTTTTAAATCTATTCGACGGGTCATTTCTCTCTCTTTCCTTTCTTCGTATGTTTCATATTTGTGAAAGTTCTTTATAAGTAAGTGAAACTAAGATATACAAAGAGGGGACCGTTAATATGCCAAGATTTCGCTAATGTTCCTTACATGACTCAATTTGTGGAATATGTAACATGGTACGGATCACTCTCAAACGGAGCAACATCAAAAGTGCGAGATCTCTGGTACTGCGGTCGGCAATCTGTTTGCCAAGAGTGGAGATTAAGCGGATTCTCCCTGCAAGGGCAGAGGCCCATGTCAAGGAATGAGAAGATATAAGACAAAACAAAATTATTTTAATTTCCCTACTTTTCTGTAAGTAATCACTCTGCTTGTATGTGTGTGGGGGTGGCCGTGTACGTAAGGTTGGGCCCCATTTACAAGTAATTTTACTTTGATATACTTGTTCTGTACATAATAATTCTATGTTGCCATCTTTTGGAGGTCACATAGGTCTTGCGGGCATTTTACCAATTCGCCATTTTAAGACATCCACCATAATGAGATAGTAATATCGTAGCATCATGCTATGTTGTCACCATATGGAGTAAAGCCACATGTTTCAGGATTTGGTGGAAATGTGCCGTGGGGTTCAACATCCACTGCGCGGATTATTCCTGAGAAACTATCTCCTGCAATGCACGAGAAATGTCCTTCCCGATACTACAGAAGCTCAGAATGATAATGAAGGAACGGTTAGATTCATATTGTATATGTTGTTTAATATAATTATAATATTTACCCTAAATTGGAGAAAGATATGGGGTAAGCTCACAAAAAGCTAGATAGAAAGATATAATAATAGAAGATATAAGATGTTTGAAGTTTAAACCTCTAATCATTTATAACAACTTGCTTTGATTTTGTTTTTATTACAGACTGCGATTTTTTTATTTTATTGTTTTACTAATATGATAATAGGAACATCAATATAATTTGGCATATATAACTCATATTTTTAATTGAAAATATATGAATGGTAAGCTCTATATAATATGTTAGACGCCAGAAAATTATTAAAATTATCCTTAGCACAGTTAGTATTTGGCGTTTTTGGCTGTCGGTTCAATTCCCGCATGGAGCAATTACAATTTCCAGAAATTGATCCTGGTCTGGGTATTTGTTAGTGCAATTCTTGTATATTAAGACATCACAGTACAGTAAGACTTCATAATTGGGATGTGTTTTAAAAAGAAAAAAATTGCCAAGGAAGAACATAGATATATTCCAATTTGGGAGCGGCTTATGGTATTTCTTCAAACCTAATGATGAACATTAATATTATTAATGTATGTCTTTAATGTATGTGACATGGCACAGATTTTCACCCTACAACATCTTATATACATTATTAACAGTGGTAGAGCCACGCGGCAGCTTTTGCTGTCACACGGATGGGCCGGCTCGAACCGGGGTGGTACCACGACCTCACAGAAAACCAGCGTGAAGTAGAGATTTACCTCTACATTTCGCTTGGTGAGTGCAGGTGGCCGGAGGCCCTTTTTACTGGAAATGAGGCATTCCATCTTAGTCCTCACGGGTGACAACGCATCTACATTTTGATTTGTAATAGAAGATAGATGTAGATGTCTATGGGCCGCAGCAACCACTTACCATCAGGTGGACTGTGTGCTCGTTTGTCACCCTTACCCTATAAAAAAAAATCGTTCTTCCTTTACACACCGCGTCAGTCTTGCAATCTTACCATTACGTGGTAGAGCCATTTTCTACGTGGTAGAGCCATGCTGCAGCTATATTATGGTTGTAGCACGAATGGGTCGGCTCGACCGGGGAAGGACCACGCTCTCACAGAAAACCAGCGTAAAATAGCAGCTTAACGCTGCTGTGTTTCGTATGGTGAGTGTAGAGAACCGGAGACCCTTTTTACTGGCAAAGAGGCATTCCATCTTAGTCCTCACGGGTGACAACGCATCTGCATCTTGAGTCTTTATTGAGGATAGATGTAGATGTCTATGGGTCACAGTAACCACTTACCATCAGGTGGACTGTGTGCTCGTTTGTCACCCGATCCTATAAAAAAAAAAAAAAATACGTGTCTCTCCTTATATGCTTGTACCTATCTTGAACTCATATTTCCATCTTCCATCTTCCTTGTCATTGGTGAATGTGTCATCTATCTCACTCAGTTTAACGTAATATCACGTCTACATGTGTACAGCTTACATTCATGGATAGATTCGTGTTTCAGGTGCGAGACGCCATCGACTTTGTCCTGATGAATTTCGCCGAAATGAACAAGCTTTGGGTGCGGATGCAGCATCAGGGACACTCCAGGTTTGATCGCCTTATTATGGTTATCATCAGCCAACTTCACTACTGAATGTTAATATATTTAAAAGCTTTTAGAAAAATTTACTTCGCAAATATCCGCGTTATAAAATAAAATGATGTGTCTTACCTAGTATGAAGAGCACATCCCGCCATCCCTCAAACCGCAGCGGATATTTGCGAAGTAGATTTTTCTAAAAGCTGTTATATAATGGATTTCCGCAAAGTAACGCCTGATTCTATTAATATATTTGTCAAAATTTGTACTTAGTCTCAGACTAAAATACTTTTCATGTGGTAGAGCCACGCTGCAGCTATATTATGGCTGTGGTATGAATTTGTAGGCTCCACCGGAGAAAGACCAAAATAAAAGAATATCAACGTGAAATAACAACTTAAAGTTGCTGTGCCTCAGATTCGTCTTGTCCTGTCTGTTAATCTTCGGAATGGCTGAACCGATTTTAATGAAACTTCACGGACAGATAGTAATGCCAGAAATGATCAAGACTATAATTTATCCGATAATATTGGATATTTTTTTTGAACCTATTCGAAAAATTAATAAAATAAATGGTCATTGATGATTGTCTTAAATTGAAATAACACCACATTTATAGTAGTAGTATATAAAAATCTAAAACAGAATGTTTTCCTTCTTCAGGGATAAAGAACGACGTGAACGGGAGCGCTCCGAGCTTCGTATACTAGTCGGAACCAATCTAGTGCGCTTATCCCAGTTGGAGTCGGTCACGGTGGAAGACTATGGGCGTCTGGTACTGCCTGGTATTTTGGAGCAGGTAGTCAGTTGTCGGGACGCGATCGCTCAGGAGTACCTCATGGAATGTATCATACAGGTAGGGAGTTACAGGTTTGAGTTCCATTTAGAAACAATATTCTTGATATACAATATTTTATACATGGTAGAAACATGCTGGACCAGGAAAGACCATACTTTGTCAGAATACACCAGTGTTAAATAGCAGCATGATGCTGCTGTGTCTCATATGGTGAGTGTAGAGGACTGCAGACCACTTTCCCATCAAGTGGACTGTGTGCTTGTTTGTGCCTTCACTTATGTTTAAAAAAACTCAATTTATAGCCTTCATATGACACACTTTACCTGTGAGTGGCGTTGTCTCATGGTTGGGATGATTATTAAGACATATCCCGTCTAAATTATCCCAAAGTATAGTATGATCTCTAGAATTATAATACATACATACGTACTTATATATACAGGGTTATTTTTCAAAGACCAGCCAAATTTAATAATTAAGTTCAAAATATAAATACTGATATACACTTGTTACAGTTTTGAAAAAAATGCGTAAATAAAGTTTCTACATTTATTTGAAAATATCCAAAATTAAATGTGATTTATGGGCAACAAAGGCGCGCGCTCGTATGTGTACGAGTCAATTCACGGAGCTTTTGCCTACTATTTATTTCCTTAATGACACGTTCGCTACTAAGTTGTTGACTACGACGCGAATCATGATTACAATTTTCCCTTCATAATTTAAACGGGCTTAGGACCGTCATAATAAATAAAATTAAAAAAAAAATACCTTTCATCGACAACTGGAATAGATGCTATGCAAATAAAAAGTTCTGCACACCTCGAATTAAATAATATTTTTACTCCCACACAAAGACAGTTCGAAATACAAGCTTAGACTACAGAGCGAGGGAAAGAGGTGAAGAATAAATGTAAACAATTAGTTGTAGAAAAGATAGTTGAGCAGGAAGACCAATGATAGGTTGGCGCGATTTAAATTATTTAATAACATAAACTGATAATTTTATTTGCCGTTGCAGGTGTTCCCTGATGAATTCCACCTGGCGAATCTCCAACCATTCCTCAAGTCGTGCGCCGAGTTACAGCCAGGAGTGAACATTAAAAATATCATTATAGCCCTTATCGAGCGACTTGCTAGTTACAGTCAGGTATTTATTTTAAAATTAATTATTTAGAATTGTATTGAATACTAGATATTCCAGCAAACTTTTCGATAAAACCAAAAATTGGAGTGACAGACAACGAATGGACACGTGGACCTGATGATGGAACTTATTAACCCAACCTGATGTACGGAGCATAGGTAAATCGTCCAAGCTATGCTTGCCAGCTGGCATAATCTTCGCAAAACCTATGTTTAGTAGTTGACTTAGAGGCTGCTAATGATGATAGTGACAAGATCGTGACAAAATTACCATACACTTTCTGATCATACACTATTTGTTCGTGAAGACTCATCACAATCGGTTCAGCCGTTCCAAAGATTAGCCCAGATGAAAAGCTCGATAAAAGGCAGTTATTTCGATATTACATTTATACTTATCTTCACGCACAATCCCTGACGGGGTAGCCAGAGAGAACAGATCGCCGAGTGTCACAATCCTTACATACCTCTTTCGCTTCTTTCAGATTCATTATCTTCTTCATACATGCACGTCTAGGTATCCGAGTACTCTTGACCCTCCCCTATTACATTTATATGTTTCAATGATAGATATTGTTAATGATGTCGTTAAATTTTCAGAGGAACGAGGGCAACGTTAATCTCAGCGTGGTATTAGAAGACGGCAAGGAGCAAGAAGTGCAGTTATTTGAGGTGTTCTCTGATCAGGTGGCTGCCATTACACAGGTAACAATTTTTTTTTGTTTATTTCATATTGCGAATAACAGTGCAGTGTCGGTGTAATAATATCCATTACTCCATATCGTCCCGTGGGTGGCGTAAGAGGCAACAGAGGGAAAAAAACCAGGAGATGGACAGCAGCGTTCCTTATAACAAACAAAAAAACATGCGTGAGTGTTGTGGAACACTTGGTTGGAACGAAGTTCCTTTCGTAGTATACTATTATTGATAAACATATTATATTATTGATTAACAAATACAAATAAATGAGTTACTATCGTCTATTAAAATGAAGCATCATTTATCATTTAAAATAATATTTCATACATGGCAAGATAAGAAAAAGTGCAATGAAGATGGATATTATTCCATCTCGATTCCTTACGGCCGTCAAGGCCGTCTACACTACGTCAGAAGGGGTCGCGGCGGAAAAATCTTACACCTTTTCTCGACTAGCCCCCGTCTGCCAAATTCGTACCGTCCGATAAGGAACTTCGTTCCAAAAACTACGCCTGACAACCCACATGCCAAGCGTGGCAACTATGACTACTATATGAGGCAATCTATCAGGGTGGCCTATATTCAACAGTGGACTTTTATATAACAATAACCGGTAAATTACGACTTGTAATATACTACACTTGTCTAGTGTAAAGTAACTAAGAAAATTAAGTTCTTATTTGGATGTTTTTGTGATGGGTGGATCTGTTCGAGCCCCGACGGTTCGACGAAAAATGAGATTGACTTCATTATGACGACCAGACGGCAACTGTTCAGTGATTGCGAGGGTGAAATCCGGAAGCACACTGAACCTAAACGTTAAGTTAAAGAGGTTTCGTCTAATGAAGTCAACGCTCTGTTCCCTTCGTGCTCTAATCCAAAGTTCCGAAACCTTTTAGCTCGAGTTACGAAACCGTTTTCAGTGCCTAGAAGATTACAGTGCAGTGGACGATATGAATGACAAGCTCGTGGAAACTGTCCTTGCGGTCGCAGCTAAGGTTTGCAAAACCCGCCGCAGAAGAACAAAAACTCTGTGGCTGTTAGACGGGAAATGAAGCTGCAGTCTTCAGTGGATTTGACAGCATACAGGCTACAGAATAGACAGAACTCAAAACGCATGCGACGGGACTTACGTAACTTTAATACTGCTCATATTGAAGAAGCGATTGAGCGGAACCAGGGCTCCCAAGTCTTTGCTAGAGATCTGTCTGCCAAAAAGAGCCAACTGTAGAAGCTGAAGACCTAATGTGGCACAGCATTGTTTCCGGGACATCTGAGATTTTGATTGAGTTTGAGAGGTTCTATGGACAGCTGTACACATCATTGTTGGAGCCACACGCAAGTGTGAATAACGATCCAAGAGCAACTCTTATCCGACACTATTCCGATGATATCCCGGACGTCAGTCTGAGCGAGATTAGAATGGCTCTCCAGCACTGGAAAGGATACGGTATTAACATCAATAGCGAGTACATCACTCACCTTCGATTTGCCGACGATGTAGTCATTATGGCAGAATCGCTGGAGGACCTAAGCACTATGCTCAATGACCTCAATAGTGTCTCCCAACGGATAGGTCTTAAGATGAACATGGACAAAACAAAGATCATGCGTAACGTCCATTCACTCCTGTGCCAGTAGTTGTTGGGAGCACTAAGCTCGAAGTGGACGAGTATGTTTACCTGGGACAAATAGTCCGACTAGGTAAGTCCAACTTCTACCGAGAGGTCAATCGACGGATTCAATTCTGCTGGGCAGCGTTGGGGAAATTACCGACACACCTTCTCGTCAGGTATACCTCAAAACTTGAAAACTAGACTGTATAATCAGTGCGTGTTGCCAGTGATGACTTATGGATCTGAGACATAGTCCCTCACTGCTTGCCGTATGAGGACGCTCAAGGTCGCTCAGCGAGCAATGGAGAGGGCTATGCTGGGGTTTCTTTGCGTGATAAACTTAGAAATGAGAATTTCCGCAGTAGAACCAGAGTGACCGACATAGCCCAACAGATTAGTAGGCTGAAGTGCCAATGGGCCTGCCATATAGCTCGAAGAACCGACAACCGATGGGGAAGAAAGGTTCTTGAGTGGCAGCCTCGTACCGGTAGGCGAAGTGTAGGGCGACCCTCCACGAGATGGAGTGACGACCTGGTAAGACATGCAGGATGTCGATGGATGCAGGTGGCTTAGGACCGTGTTTTGTGGCATTACTTGGGTGAGTCCTATGTTCAGCAGTGGACTTGTGAAGGGCTGTAATGGTGATGGTGATGTGATGGGTACTGTATTAGAAACTGCTAGACAACCATCTCAGACATTCTCTATCTGTCAAGCTTGTACCGGCAATCAAAGCGTAGGGCGGTCCCCCACTAGGTGCGGAGATGACCTGGTAAGACATGTAAGAAGTTGATGAATACAGATGGCTCAGGACCGCGCTTTGTGGTATTCCTTGGGAGAGGCTTATGTTCAGTGGAGGGCTTGTGAAGGGCTGATATCTCAAGAAATGATGATATTGTCTGCAAACCAATGTCACCCAATAAGACTCAACATGCAGACGCATTGTACCCTTGAGGATTAAGATGGAAAACCTTGTTTCCAGTAAAAAGGATCTTTGGTTCTCCACACACACCATGCAAAAGTTCATTCATTCCTACAGTCAGTAAAATGAGAATAAATTTTAGAGCCGATCCGACATGGCACCCGAGGACATGCTGAGTCTACAGTTGGCACTGTTAAAACTAGCCCAACGCTGCCATCCGGATAAGCTCAACTATGTCGACCGCGTTCTGGCACATACGGACAAGATTTGTGCCGATATACATCAGAACAGGTATTGTTAGATTTATTTTCTTGTAGAAACACATACACACACACACACTCACATACAAACCCATACATATCAAATTATGTATTCACATCTATAGACCAACAAAGAAAGATAGACCGAGTGCTGTGTTCATTTCAAGTGACGCTGAAACTATGCTTTCTTAACACACACTCACGCACACATCTGGCTCCTTTCTTTCTTTCTCTATCAGCCCGTCAAAGTTTATTGCTGGTTGCACACATATGCACCTAAAACCTTGTTTTTGGTTGCAAAGGATTTTAGATACATATGTATGCGTGTGCGTGTTCTTACAATAAGTTGAGCATGGTTTTGGATTGGTTTTTGTGTCACTTGAAATATAAGCAGCGCTCCATCTTTCTCAGTCTCAGTTCAAAGTTCAACATAAAATAGACATACAAACCTGCATATGTTATATATACACGTACACACACACATACATATATAATACGTATAGCGCACCTAATCCATGTTTAAAACTAATTAATTACTAGTTGTCTTTAATGTGGTAGAGCTATATTAGTGGTATAGTTGTAGAACAAGTGGGTCGGCTCGACCAGGGAAGAACCACGCTCTCACAGAATACCAGCGTAAAATAGCAGCTTAACACTGCTGTGTTTCATATGGTGAGTGTAAAGAACCGGATACCTTTTTTACTGGGAACGAGACAATCCATCACTTCACATTCACACGGGTGACAACGCATCTGTATTTGGATTCATAATTGAGGATAGATGTAGATTTCTATGGGCCACAGCAACCACTTACTATCAGGTGGACTGTGTGCTCGTTTGTCACCCTTATCCTATAAAAAAGGATATCCATTAAATAATTTATTGACAATATGTCTCTTCATCTGTTAATTAGGGCACAACACATTCTTCGGGTCAACAATCAAGTCATGCACGTGTAGTACCTTAATTGTAACCGCAGTTGACTCTCTTATAGCTTATAGAATTAGAAATGCAATAAATGGCATATATTTATTAATAATACTTTAGGTTTTGCATTTTGAGGCCATTATTACGTTATTAACAAATTATGTTACATTTTGAAAACTAATTATCAATTACAATTATTATTAAGGCAGCAAATTTATTCAATAATCTTATTTAATGGAGGCCCGTGGGCTTTCAGCTCCGCAAACACACTTCTCCGCTCTCCACCTATATCTAGCTGCAGTCTATTGCACGCCTCATAACGCAAAGCGTTTTTAGGTAGTGCTTTACTCTCGACACGTCAAGGTCAAGCAATTTTGTGTTCTTAAAATGCCGCTATCATAACCATATTGCATTTATACGATAATATGGGTAGCCCCGTATATCAAGAAAACACTAATTAATTAATCTTATATTTTCTAATAAATCATTTTATATTGCTACTCTGAAAAAAAATTTACGTGGACCTTCCGATGTTGACTTTGTATGTGGTCACGATAACTCCCGAAAAAATTAACGTTTCGGGACCGGGTTTTTTTTATTAGCTTCAGAATTACATCCACTGGTTCCCTATTTCATATTAATAGCCTAGTTTGTTAATAAAATGATTTTCACCTTTTATAGGTTTTATTGCTTTTAAAAATTTAAATACGCTTCCATATTTTTTTAGCCCTTAATAACATCTATAATTGATAACTGTTCTTTCAGTGGTAAACCGCACTTAGAACACAACACCCCGGTCTTTAAGGAACTGATGAAGATTCTGAAGCTGCCTGCCGACCACTACAAGAACATATTGACGCTCATCCGTCTCCAAAACTACGCCCCATTGATCTTGCACTTGAACCACTCGGGCAGAGTTATGATAGCGGTGCATCTGGTCAACGATGTCTTGGAGACTGACACAATGATTTCTAACCCTGAGGACGTGAGTACAGTAACAATAACGATAATATAGGGAGTAAGGGAGACTATTAAAACACTGCTTGCTATTTTGGGCCTTAATGCAACTGGATAAGGTAAAATTTAGGCTGACTTCTTATAAAGTTGATGTGACAAACAAACGGTCCACCTGATGGTATGTAATTACTGGTAAAAACGCATTGGTAACCTTCTTCGTTTGAAGTTGGTTGGTTGCATTTGCCTACGGATTGCAGTATCCACATATCATCAGGTAGATTTTATTTTATAGAATAAGGGTAACAAATGAGCACACAGTCCACCTGATGGTAAGTTGTTGCTGTGTCCCATAGACATCTAGATCTATCTTCGTTTGCGAATTAAAATGCAGATGTGTTGACAGCCGTGAGGACTAAGATAGAATGCCTCTTTTCCAGAAAAGAGCGTCTCCGGTTCTCTACACTCACCATACGAAACACAGCAGCATTGCACTGGTATTCTGTGAGAGCATGGTCCTTCCCCGGTCGAGCCGACCCATTCGTGCTACAAATATACTATTAAGGGTGCGTTTGCAAATCGGGCCAAATTATGCTGTTTTTCGGTACATTTTGTGACAAAACTAAACCAAATCAAATATAACTAATAACTACAACGTATAGAATGGTTCTTTATCTTCAAATGGTGGTAACTTTTTTGTTGAAAATAATAGTTTTTTACATTGTAAAAAGGATCTTCCCTAGCCATTTACTACAAAATTAACGATACCGGCTCATATTTCGGTACATTTTTTGTTCTATTATCAACATATATTAAGATTTCTAAAAATACTGTAAGTAGGCAGACATATTCAATAAAAAATGCTGGTGATTACTTTTTATCAAAATGTCACAAAAGGTCGTAAAAAAAAATAAAAACTGATGCTTACTTTTTGACATATTTTGCTGATACGGATGAATCCTAAAGGATTGCAATAAGGGTTATTTTATTTTTAGTGTCTGTTTTGATTTGTTGTACAAAAATTACATGAAACCACAGTCGGCGCTCGGCCGCTATCGCGGGTGGACGCTGTATCGCCTGCAGCAGCTGAAAAAGATCGCTGTACAAACACAAAATATTCGAATTTGATACATAGGTACATGACCTGACAAAGTAAAATAATACATACATAATATAAATATTTTTATAATCACAAATTCTTATTATAATGTTTTGTTTCGCTAAAAGCAAGTGGGATTTATAATATATAAATATATATAAATCCTATTCGTCTTGGACTTTATGGAGTGATCTGAAAGTATACGGTGAATGCTACTAGAACTCCTCGACGAGTTGAACTAGGTGTGCCGAGTTTGGCTCATTATGTTAGTTATGACGAGACCTTACCTCCGGACTTGAAGGAATGACCTGAAGGTGTACTTCGGTAACTGCTAGTGGAACTCCTGGACGAGTAAAACTAAGTATGCCAAGTTTGGGCTCGTTTTGTTAGTTACGATGAGACCTTACCTCCGGACTTGACAGAATGACCTGATGGTGTACGTTGGTGACTACTACTGCAACTCCTGGACGAGTAGAACTAGGTGTGCCGTGTTTGGGCTCGTTTTGTTAGTTATGACGAGATCTTACCTCCGGACTTGATGGAGAGACCTGATGGTGTACTTCAGTAACTACTACTGGAACTCCTGGACGAGTAGAACTAGGTGTGCCGAGTTTGAGCTCGTTTTGTTAGTTATGACGATACCTTACCTCCGAACTTGATGAGAGACCTGATGGTGTACTTCGTAACTCCTGGAAGAGTAGAACTGGGTGTGCCGAGTTTAGGCACGTCGGAGAAAATATAAATGGTATTACCAAATTCAAGGGCAACTGCGCATCATAACTAACAAACTCGGCACACCTAGTTCTACTCGTCCAGGAGTTGCAGTAGTAGTCACTGAAGTACACCATCAGGTCTCTCCATCAAGTCCGGAGGTAAGGTCTCGTCGTAACTAACAAAACAAACCCAAACTTGGCATACCTAGTTCTACTCGTCTAGTAGTTCCAGTAGTAGTCACTAAATTACACCATCAGGTCTCTCCATTAAGTCCGGAGGTAAGGTTTCGTCATAACTAACATAATGAGCCCTAACTCTGCACACCTACTTCTACTCGTCCAGGAGTTGCAGTAGTAGTCACCAACGTACACCATCAGGTCATTCTGTCAAGTCCGGAGGTAAAGTCTCGTCGTAACTAACAAAACGAGCCCAAACTTGGCATACCTAGTTCTACTCGTCCAGGAGTTGCAGTAGTAGTCAACAATGTACACCATCAGTTCATTCTGTCAAGTCCGGAGGTAAGGTCTCATCGTAACTAACAAAACGAGCCCTAACTCTGCACACCTAGTTCTACTCGCCCAGGAGTTCCAGTAGTAGTCACTGAAGTACACCATCAGGTCTCTCATCAATTCCGGAGGTAAGATCTCGTCATAACTAACAAAACCAGCCCAAACTCGGCACACCTAGTTCTACTCGTCCAGGAGTTGCAGTAGTAGTCACCAACGTACACCATCAGGTCAGTCTGTCAAGTCCAGAGGTAAGGTCTCATCGTAACTAACAAAACGAGCCCAAACTTGGCATACCTAGTACTACTCGTCCAGAAGTTGCAGTAGTAGTCACCAACGTACACCATCAGGTCATTCTGTCAAGTCCGGAGGTAAGGTTTCATCGTAACTAACAAAACGAGCCCAAACTTGGCATACCTAGTTCTACTCGTCCAGGAGTTCCAGTAGTAGTCACTGAAGTACACCATCAGGTCTCTTATCATTTCCGGAGGTAAGATCTCGTCATAACTAACAAAACCAGCCCAAACTCGGCACACCTAGTTCTACTCGTGCAGGAGTTGCAGTAGTAGTCACCAACGTACACCATCAGGTCATTCTGTCAAGTCCGGAGGTAAGGTCTCATCGTAACTAACAAAACGAGCCCAAACTACGCATACCTAGTTTTACTCGTCCAGGAGTTGCAGTAGTAGTCACCAACGTACACCATCAGGTCATTCTGTCAAGTCCGGAGGTAAGGTCTCATCGTAACTAACAAAACGAGCCCAAACTACGCATACCTAGTTTTACTCGTCCAGGAGTTGCAGTAGTAGTCACCAACGTACACCATCAGGTCATTCTGTCAAGTCCGGAGGTAAGATTTCATCGTAACTAACAAAACGAGCCCAAACTTGGCATACCTAGTTCTACTCGTCCAGGAGTTCCAGTAGTAGTAGTCTCACTCCCTGTAGATGGCTTCTAGTACCTAGCTGTCTCTGAAGCAGCCATTAATATTTCGTATCCAAGTATATTTTTGTAGGTAATAAGAAATATGAAAAAAAAAACAATCTTTCAAATTATCAAAATGTTTATACTTGATTGCGATTCCCGCAGCTAACCGTGCGTACACTTGTGTGTGTGACCAGTGTCAATGTAATAGTTCGATTCTATACCTATCAATTTTGTAAACGCGTCCTTAATATATCTGCAGCATGGATCTACCACGTACAAAAGTTTGTTAGTTCACTAGTCACTTTCGATCATGTTCAGAATAAGATGGAAGCCTTAACGGGGAAGAATTCAGTGGTGTAGCAAGGATTGCTGCTGCCCCTCTCCTGCTGCACCACTGGAAGGATTTAAGGATATATTGATTGTAGCACGATAGTTTAGATCTTACAGCTGTCGAACACTTGATGTTAGGCGATGCCGCCGCCCGCGTTGGTATTGACGCGACGTGTATGCTAGGGGTTGTCACAAAATTAGAAATAACAAAACGCAATACAACAGCCTGGTTTCGAGCTACTTTACCTATAAAAGTTAGTGGTATTGAATTAAGTAATATTGGTGTAAGAAATCTTTGTAGCGTTGCATTGCCTGTTTTCCTTGCTTCCATGTATAGTGTCAGTGACTTATGTACATCGTTTTAAATAATAAAGTAGACCTGTGCTTTGCTACGGAGGCAGGGCAGACATGGCGAGCGCTCTGTCCCGGCGAGAATATTGCACTGGAAGTTAACCAACAAAAACAGTGGGATATTCCGTTGTTACAGAGTGTGCAGAAAGATTTAATTTACAATTTTCACAATGACTAAGATCTGGCACGCCTTCTAGCTGTTTCTACTAAGGAGTCTAGTCACTGGTTACACGCTTTACCATCAAGAGCAGGTGCAGCATCAGAGGCAGCAAAACTGAGTAAGTGGCGCAAATATGAGTCTCTGAGAGATGACTACATATTTGTCCCATTTGCTGTAGAGACTATCGGTCCGTGGGGTCCACATGGGGTGAAATTCCTAAAGGAACTCTACCCGCGACTGGTCATTGCTATTGGTGATAAGAGGGCGGGTTCTTTTCTCGTTCAAAGGCTAAGTATAGCCAGTGTATATAGAAATAAAATATTTTTTTTATATTATAATACTCATTATCACTTGTTTTTATATACTTATTGGCCGTGTAGTGGCGGTTAAGAATATCCACTACCCCATATCTTCCCGTGGGTGTCGTAAAAGGCGACAAAGGGAAACAGGCAGGAGATGGGCAGCAGCATCTTCCTGATAACAGCAAAAATACAATAAAAAAAACTGCGGTTGCCAACCCGCTCGCCAAGCGTGACAACTATGGCAAATATCCCCCAAATGGATAAAGTTACTAAGAGACGGCCCCCAGTCCCCGGCGGACCCGCTATTCCTGGCTACGGTGGCGACCATGGTAACGGTGGGACAAGGGGTGCTAAGAATCTCCGGTGGAGGTTCGGTTGCCACCTACGACGACTCGACCTGGCAACATACAACGCACGCACCCTGAGGACTGACGAGAAGATTGTGGAGCTAGAAGATGAGATAAACAAGTTACCCTGGCATATTATAGGATTATCCGAAGTCCGAAGAGAGGGGGAGGACACGGTAATCCTCGAATCCGGCAACTTGCTCTATTACCGGGAGGGCAACCATCTGTCCCAAGGAGGTGTCGGATTTATTGTCCACAAGTCTCTCGTTAACAACGTTGTAAAGATTGAGAGTGTGTCGACGAGGGTTGCGTACCTTATACTCAGAAACACCAAACGGTATTCGCTGAAGGTCATACAGGTTTACGCACCAATTTCGGCACATCCCGATGAGGATGTGGAGGAAATGTATGAGGATATCTTTAGAGCCATGCATTTCTCCAAAACCCAATATACGGTGTTAATGGGAGACTTCAATGCAAAACTAGGCACAAGAGAGAATGGTGAGCTGAAAGTAGGGAAATTTGGAATAGGGCAACGGAACCCAAGGGGCCAGCAGCTGGCCGACTTCATGGAGAAAGAGGGACTCTTTATGATGAACTCTTTCTTCCAGAAGCGGTTCGATAAAAAATGAGATTGACTTCATTATGACAAGCAGACGACAACTGTTCAGTGATGTCTCAGTGATCGCGAGGGTGAAAACCGGCAGCGATCACCGAATGGTTAGAGGCACACTGAACCTAAACGTTAAGTTGGAGAGGTCTCGTCTAATGAAGTCAAAGCTCCGTCCCCCTCGTGCTCTGTTCCAAAGTCCCGTATCCTTTCAGCTCGAGTTACAAAACCGTTTTCAGTGCCTAGAAGACTGCAATGAAGTGGACGATATGAATGACAAGCTCGTGGAAACTGTCCATGCGGTCGGAGCTAAGTTCTGCAAGACCCGCCGCAGAAGAACACAAAAACTCTCCGATCACACTCTTAATCTCATGGCTGTTAGACGGGAGATGAAGCTACATTCTTCAACAGATTTCACAGCATACAGGCAACTGAACAGACAGATCTCCAAATGCATGCGGCGGGACTTACGTAACTTCAATACAGCTCGTATTGAAGAAGCGATCGAGTGGAACCAAGGCTCCAGTCTTTGCCAGAGATCTGTCTGCCAGAAAGAGCCAACTGTCAAAGCTGAAGACAGAGTGTGGCAGCATCGTTTCCGGGACACCTGAGATTTTGAGTGAGATTGAGAGGTTCTATGGGCAGCTGTACACGTCATCGTTGGAGCCACACGCGAGTGTGAGTAACGATCCAAGAGTGAGTCTTATCCGACATTATTCCGATGATATCCCGGACGTCAGTCTGAGCGAGATTAGAATGGCTCTCCAGCACCTTAAAACCGGCAAGGCCCCAGGCGAGGATGGAATTACAGAGGAGCTTCTGAAAGCGGGTGGAAAACCGGTACTTGAAGTCTTTCAGAAGCTCTTTAATTCCGTCCTCCATGGTGACATTACACCGGAGGCGAGGAGCAGAAGTGCGGTGGTCTTGTTCTTCAAGAAAGGTGACAACGCTCTCTTGAAGAACTACAGACCGATTTCCCTTCTGAGCCGCGTCTACGTGCTGTTTTCGAGAGTCATTACGAATCGTCTCGCGCGCAGACTTGACGACTTCCAGCCTCCCGAACAAGCCGGTTTTCGGAAAGGTTTTAACACCATAGACCACATACATACTCTTCGGCAAATTGTACAAAAGTCAGGCGAGTACAATTTGCCAGTATGTCTATTTGCGTATGTGGACTATGAGAAAGCCTTTGATTCCGTCGAAATTTGGGCGGTGCTGCAGTCCCTTCAGCGGTGTCAAGTGGACTGTCGGTATATGGAAGTGCTGAAGTGCTTGTACAATAGGGCTACGATGGCTATCCGAGTACAGAACCAGAGTACGAAACCTATCCAACTGCAGAGAGGTGTAAAACAGGGTGACGTCATATCCCCGAAACTCTTCACCGCTGCATTGGAAGACGTTTTCAAGCTGGACTGGAAAGGATACGGTATCAACATCAATGGCGAGTACATCACTCACCTTCGATTTGCCGACGATATAGTCCTTATGGCAGAATCGCTGGAGGACCTAAGCACTATGCTCAATGACCTTAATAGTGCTTCCCAACGGATAGGTCTTAAGATGAACATGGACAAAACAACGATCATGTTTAATGTCCATGTCACACCTATGCCGGTAGTTGTTGGGAGCACTAAGCTCGAAGTTGTTGACGAGTATGTTTACCTGGGACAAATAGTCCGACTAGGTAAGTCCAACTTAGACCGAGAGGTCAAACGACGGATTCAACTTGGTTGGGCAGCGTTCGGGAAATTACGGAACTTTTTCCCGTCAGGTATACCTCAAAACTTGAAAACGAGACTGTACAACCAGTGCGTGTTGCCAGTGATGACATACGGAACTGAGACGTGGTCCTTCACTGCTGGCCGGATGAGGAAGCTCAAGGTCGCTCAGCGAGCTATGGAGAGGGCTATGCTCGGAGTTTCTCTGCGTGATAAACTCAGAAATGAGGATATCCGCAGTAGAACCAGAGTGACCGACATAGCCCAACGGATTAGTAAGCTGAAGTGGCAGTGGGCCGGCCATATAGCTCGAAGAACCGACAACCGATGGGGAAGAAAGGTTCTCGAGTGGCAGCCTCGTACCGGCAGGTGAAGTGATGGGCGTCCCCCCACTAGATGGAGTGACGACCTGGTAAGATATGCAGGAAGTCGATGGATGCAGGTGGCTCAGAACCATGCTTTGTGGCATTCCTTGGGGGAGGCCTATGTTCAGCAGTGGACTTGTGAAGGGCTGTAATGATGACTCCTTATCACTTATTTACCTTATGAACATACTTATAAGGTAAAAACATTTATCGAACAAGATCGTTTTCTTATTACTACAACAAAAAAACACATTTACAATTGTATGACACTGCAAAATATTTTCGTGACATTCGTTTTCAGTTTTCGGTTGTTAAATTTAATTATGTATTGTATTAGTACGATTCGGATAAACACTTTTATCAACAAATAATGGGGGAAACAAAAGCATGGCCATCATTTAAATTTACAGTAATTCACCATTATACATATTATATTTTTCGAAAACTGCACTTAACTTTTGTTAAATAAGTACCATACAACACGCTCGCGCGAAGCGCCTGTATTCTCTATCAGACTCAGTGAAGTGCGCAAGCTCAAGGTCGGCCCGCCCCCTGCCCCGCAGTGCCCCCTTGCTTTGCACAAGTACATTCGTTTGGCAACTGTGAGTTCTTTAAACTTTGATAGTAGTTAGGATATTTTGGGAATAGAGTAAGTAAGGTTATAACAAGTTAGATAGTTGTGAATAGCACTAACTCGGATAAAATCGATAAACATGTCACCGCCTTAACAAATGTGAGTTATGTTCAAAATTTCAAGTGTCTAGATCATAGGGACTTCTAGGATTATCTTGACTAGGGATTAGGGATTTTATCAATTCGCTTACATGTATGTCTGTTCGGGTCGAATTTAGTAAACGATTTTAAACTAAAGCTTTACGGGTGTATTCATAATCATTTTTAAACAGTTCATTAGTTAAAAAGTGTTTTGTCACTTTCTAGCAACAAGTATCTCGCAAAAGTCAGAATGAGACAAAACACTTTTTAACTAATGAACTGTTTAAAAATGATTATGAATACACCCGTTAGTCTAAAGTGGTTTACTAAATTCGACCCGAACAGACATACACGTAAGCGAGGTAATAAAAACAGGGTAAAAAAATATCTGCACTCCAATCACATATCCACCTGGCAATGCATGATCCAGCAGGCTATCAAAAGTTCATTGTTAAGCATAAGCTTCCCCAATAGATTGCCTTAGCTGCCACACTCTGCTAAGGTTGACTCGAGTAAGGCACTCGGTTAAGTTGTTATAAGAGAGATGCCGCCTTCCCATCTCACATGTTTCAGTTTCCCTCTATAGCTTCTTACGACAACCACGTTGTGATATGGTAGTGAATTCACTTGCCGTCACTACACGGTGAGAACTTTATCATGTTGATGGTTATAATTCACCCGCGGTAATCCGACAAACGTTTTGCAAGGCGGTATCGGATTATCATCCGGTACTATTTGAAAAATAGTACCTTCTAATCCGACAAATTATATTAAATATAAGATAATAAAAAAAAATGTGTGTAGTGGACTGTAGTGAACTAGTATTATGTTAGGGCGATTACTGCTAGGGACGTTATTAAAGAAAAGGCGGTACAATAAGGGAATCTTCTATGGGAGTCTTGAGAGTCTTGATTGTCTTGAGAGTCTTCTGTGTCGCTTTCGAATCGAATCAAATGAAGTTAAGTGAATGCCGGAGGAGGCCAAATGCCTCTTCTTTTATTCCTGTGGTGGGTGTTCCGTCTTGAGCGTGTTCTCGCGCCGTGTTGCTGTGCTCTCATTGGTCGGCGACCGCACGTGATGTGCGGGGTGCAGTGTGCGGGGTGTGCGGGGTGCGGGGCGTAGCGGGGTATGAGGGGGCCAGGGGGCGGCGGCTCCCGAGCCGTCCGTAACAATGTGATTGCGCAATGAATACCTAAACAGTAAATAATGAACGCCCGCTAAGCCGCTATTATAATCACATGCAAACTAAGAAAATACGCGTCAAGCAAAATTTTTGGTGGCGCAAACTAGTTACAACAATTTTGTCCAAGTATTCGGCAAGAACATCTCCGCAAGTAGCCTACTACATGACTGTACCTACATGTTATAGGCATATATCGGTTTACAGAGGGTGCCAGATTAGACAGGGGCCGGATTACTGGTGGTCCACTGTAATAATTTCTATAGCTAGAATGCGTAGTAAATGAAATGTCTGGAATTGGAGACATCAATTTTCAGGTGGAGTCTGTGCTGTCAATGCTAGATGTGCTCGTCAAAGATCAGCCCGACCAGCTCGGATCGGAGCCTGACGTTGACGACTTTAACGAGGAACAGGGTTTATTGGCCAGGTATGGTTTATTCTAGTATTTTTCTATTTTCAATTTATTACATGATTTCTTTTCTGTTTAGAATTCTATATGGGTGGGAACCACCTACTTCTGCCGCCAAATAACAGTCAAAGGAGCAGCAATTAGGTTTAAAATAATTTATTTAAACTGACAGAGAGACCACACTCAATTAAGAACCGAACAATAGTCATTTTAATATCGACTTATCCTAGTATTTATATAATGAGGGCATCCACGACTTTTTCTACCACCAGGGCGGCGCCACTTATAAGTGAGGTATAATATTTTACAGATGATATCATAGCGGTGAAGTTAATTTGTTCGGAAAATGTAAAGGTTAACGTTTCTTTCTATGGTATTAGGTGTATTTTATGTTAATATGATTAAAAATAAATAAACCAAACCACAGATATTCATAAAAGTAGAAAAAAAAATGTGCAAAAAAATTACAGAATAAACCACTGAGGTATTGTTTTGTGTATTAATATAATACTTTTGAAACTGAATATACTTTTGAAACTATAATACTTTTGAAAGCTTTCATTAAAAACTACTTCTCAATTAAATGACATTGTGTAACAAAAAACTTTACCTCAGTGTCAACCAGCGACATCTGGTGAGCAGAAAGTTATTAGCCCTCATTAAAACTACTTACTAAGCATTTGGTGCTCTGACGCACCGGCCTACATCTTATGTTTGTTTGCAAAGCATATATTATGCGCACCGCTGTGTTAAGGGAAATCTCGCGTTTAAGAGTCCTTATAATGCTGTTTTGGTGATATTGAGCGATTTGGATCTCGGTATCTATAAGACCTAAGAGTTTGCTATTTGCACACATCGAACTTGGACTTATAATCTTTAAATCTGTTGAAGCAAAAACACGACCCGATAAAAAAAAACGATGGGTTGCACTCCAGGAGTGCCGGCAGAAGTGAAAACTTGAATATTAACGTTGTGCATTTTTGATATTTTGGAATGGCGAAGATTATTTATTATTATCTTCTTTCATTTATTTTCATTAGAAATTATTTGTTTGGTAAACCTACATCGCACATGTGCTTATTGTGATGTTATGAAAATATAGATTAATGCTATAAAGTATAAACATATTACAAATATTACATCTATAATGTGTAAGTACATATGTATCTATATTAATAATTTCGTCAAGCAGTACAGTAGACTTGATCGAAACCTAATCTTAATAATAAAATTATATTAATTAATAAATGAAAATTAATTAAACCTAACCTAACCTGAATAATACTACTACGCCGCGCCGGCTGTATACTCTCCTGCCGTCTTACGAATTTTCGATCAGGACACGTGACCTGCCGCGAGTTTAACATTTCTTACCCATTACAAAAAAGTGCACAACGCCGCTAAAGAAGTTTTCATACTCTCCGTCCGTCTTACGAATTTTCGATCAGGACACGTGACCTGACGCTAGTTTAACATTTCTTACCCATTACAAAAAAATGCACAACGCCGCTAAAGAAGTTTTCATACTCTCCGTCCGTCTTACGAATTTTCGATCAGGACACGTGACCTGACGCGAGTTTAACATTTTTACCCATTACAAAAAAAATGCACAACGCCGCTAAAGAAGTTTTCATACTCTCCGTCCGTCTTACGAATTTTCGATCAGAACACGTGACCTGACGCGAGTTTAACATTTTTACCCATTACAAAAAAAAATGCACAACGCCGCTAAAGAAGTTTTCATACTCTCCGTCCGTCTTACGAATTTTCGATCAGAACACGTGACCTGACGCGAGTTTAACATTTTTACCCATTACAAAAAAAATGCACAACGCCGCTAAAGAAGTTTTCATACTCTCCGTCCGTCTTACGAATTTTCGATCAGGACACGTGACCTGACGCGAGTTTAACATTTTTACCCATTACAAAAAAAAATGCACAACGCCGCTAAAGAAGTTTCACTTCAAAAATTCTCGATTAAAAAAAAGGACGAAATAACCTCAAAAAATAACGACAAAACCACAATTTATCGCTGGTTTTCTGAATTTCAACGTGGACGTGTCAAGCTCAGTGATGATCCCCGTCAAGGTCGTCCAAAAACTGCAGTCACCCAAGAAAACGTTGATGCTGTGCGTAAGCTGATTGAGGAAGATCGATATGTGACATCCGCGAAATTCAGGCAACTTTAGACATTGGCATGAGTCAAATACAAATAATCTTGCATGAACACTTAGGTGTAAAAAAGTTGTTTTCCCTATGGATACCGCATTCGCTCTGTGAAGAGCAAAAAGCGGCTCGCGTTACTTGGTGCGTCAGAACTCTCGAAAGATTCCACGCAGGATCCTCAAATGCTGTATACAACATCGTATCAGGTGACGAATCCTGGATATACGCGTACGAACCCGAAACAAAAAGCCAGTCACGAGTTTGGGTGTTCGAAAATGAGTTAAAGCCAACAAAAATTGTTCGTTCACGGAGTGTTGCGAAAAAAATGGTGGCCACGTTTGTCTCTAAAACCGGCCATGTTACGACTATTCCTCTTGAGGGACAAAGAACGGTTAATGCAGAATGGTATGCTAGCATTTGTTTGCCACAGGTCGTTTCTGAACTCCGTAAAGAGAACTGCAACCGCCGCATCATCCTCCATCACGACAATGCGAGTTCTCACACCGCACACAGAACAAAAGAGTTTTTAGAGCAAGAAAACATAGAATTATTAGACCATCCGCCGTACAGCCCCGACTTAAGCCCTAATGATTTCTATACTTTCCCCAAAATAAAGAATAAATTGCGTGGACAGAGATTTTCATCACCTGAAGAAGCTGTGGACGCCTACAAAACGGCCATTTTGGAGACCCCAACTTCCGAATGGAATGGTTGCTTCAATGATGGGTTCCATCGTATGGAAAAATGTGTCAAATTTCGCGGAGAATACTTCGAAAAGCAATAAATACATTTTTAAATAGTAATGTTGTGTCACTTCCTTGATTCCCGAATTTTTCAGTACCGCCCTTGTATCTCAAATCGTGACGATTTATTTCTATATTTTTCTACGTGGTCTTCTCGTAATTAGCAATTATGTGATTTGGCGCTAGCATTATTTTATTTTAAGCGAGCACACTCTCTTTCTGTCTCTTGTTTTGCACGCGGTAGTAATAGCGCTATCTTTTTCCATTTGTTCAATCAGTCTGCTGCGGCATCTGTTGCAGGACGAACCTATGTTTGGCGACATTACAGAGAGACGACTATTTATTCATATAATAAGTTATGATTGACAATTTTATTACTTAGTACTCTCTATTCTCTTTAACAAAATCGCTTTGACCTCGTGTTCCCGCGTGACCGCGAGCAGTAGTGTGCGAACGAGTGGCGTGTGGAAGTGGTGGTGAAATTAGAATATGAGCTGAGGTAGCATAGGCCTTAAACTTACTTCACAATTTGTGTAACATAGTATGGTATAGACCCCAATTTTGACATCATAGGAATTTAAGTTAAAACTCCAGATTGTTCCTGATTAACGGTTTAAAATGACATATTTAAAATTACGGACTAACTTTTCTCATAGTCGCAAAAGAAAAGAATATAAATATATAAACCCTTTTCAGTTTTTCGTGATCTGTAGTAAGCACTTGCAATGAACAATTTCTTTGATGACGCCGGAATTGATCCTGGGCTATCAACTACACGCTTAGCCCTTTTTAATTAATTTTAGTTTAACTTTTCAGCCGTGGTAGCTCAGATGGTTAGTGCTCGCTGTAAGTTTCACAGTACGCGAGCATCCCGGGTTCGATCCCCGCCGGCACCAATGAAATTATTAATTGTATTTTTAGTGCTGATTTACCACGTGCTCGGCGGTGAAGGAAAACATCGTGAGGAAACCGGCATGTCTGAGAAATAAGAAAAAAATATTTCGAAGACATGTGAAGTTCGCCAACACGTAATGGGGCAGCGCCGCGAACATTTCCTTGCCCTAAAACCCTCTCAGAAATGAGAGGAGGCCTGTGCCCAGCAGTGGGACGTATATAGGCAGTAACTTTTACCATTTAACTTTTTTTACTTTTCAGACTTATCCACCACTTCAAATCCGACTCGGCGGACCAACAATACTTAATACTGAGTGCAGCGAGGAAAGCTTTGCAAAGTGGTGGAGCTAGAAGGATACAACACACCTTCCCTCCGATACTGTTCCATGCGTATCAATTGGCTTTTGTCTATAAGGACCTTAAAGATCAGGTAAGTCTAGTCACCTGCGGAGGACTGGATTATAGTGCAGGGGTGTATGCGCAAGCAAAGGCTCTCTCTATTCTCTCAGTTCCATAGTCCAACTGTACAGCAATCCAAAATGACCGGGGAGAGATCGATCGCAGGACCAACGGGTTTACGTGCTTTCCGAGACACACGGGGCTGAAACCCCGCCAATTTCCTGACTCCGTGCTTGCTACTGAAAATTACTTCACAAAAAAATCCAATAACTGATTTTGGTCCGACCCGGCGGCGCTTACGACCACTTCGCAGTCACATTTGTTCAATAATACAAATTGTTGGCTTTGAATCTAGTTATGTGACCCAAGTGTTACGTCGGACCTGCATAGTATAGATAAGAAATTTGTTAATGTTAGATACAGTCTTGCAGTGGTACACTTGGATTGAATTTATTGGAATGAAGTTCCTTATCGGACGGTACATATTTGACGCATGGGGGCTAGGCGAGAAAGAGTGTAAGATTTTTCCGTCACTAACCCCTTTCTAGGGCGAGCGAGATGGAATAATATCCATCTCCCTCGAACTTTTCTTATCTTGCCATGAATGAAATTTTATTTTAAATGACGTTACATTTTAATAGACGCTAGTAATTCATTTATTTGTATTTGATAATCAATAATATAATACGTTTATCAATAATAATATACTACGAAAGGAATTTCTTACTTTTCGAATTTTCGTCGTAATTTTCGAGTTTCCACGATACTCACGCATTTTTATTTTTATGAATAACAGCGTCTCAAACAGATGGTAACTCCCAGCCATTTTCTCTGTTGAAATTTAGATGATTTTAATTATGATACCTTGCTGTTTAATGTTTTTAACGTGTTAAGAAATTTTAGAGTTGCAACACTGCAACTATATTATCATGTTTGCAACATAAATGGGTCGGCTCGACCGGGAAAAGACCACGCTCTCACAGAATGACAGCGTGAAATAACAACTTAATACTGTTTCGTATGGTGAGTGTAGAGAACCGGAGACCCTTTTTAGTGTTCGGTTAATTATCATGCTTGGCAGGCAGATTGACAACCGCTACACCGGGCATAACCACCTTATCACTGTAAATATAAGAATTCAGTAATATACATATTGTTACGAGCTTGGGGTCCGAGACAATTAAAAACTGCCGAGTAAATTACCAAAATCGACACTTTAATTACAGAACACTAATTACAACTTAAACCACACTTTATTATTAAAACACAATTGTACTACTGATCACTTTAGTTCGCAGTTGTATCGCTTCGAAGTATTCGCTTATATCGCCAATTCAATACTGTCTCGTTCGCGGACTATACCGGCCTTATATAGGGCCTCAGGTAGTTTCCAGAACCTTCTACTATAGAAACATCTAGAATGTTCGAGTACATATCGGTCCCGATATTTCTAGAAGGATCTTGACTCCTAGTTCTGCTACTCAACTAGTGGTAACTAGTGTTGCCATGTACAAGACATTAATAGTGGCGCGCAACAATATTAACACTATCGAATATTCCAGGATGAGATGTGGGAGAAGAAGTGTCAAAAGATCTTCCAGTTCTGCCATCAAACAATCAGCATGCTCGTCAAGGCTGAGTTAGCTGAATTGCCCCTACGGTAAAAACTTTTGCAATTAACTTTATGAATAAAAGTAAAAAATGACTTTCTATAACAACTATTTATAATCCATATTGAATGTAAAATTATCAACAACAATAACCCATAAAAGGCCACTGCTGGGCATGGTCCTCTTCCATTTTAGGGGTGAATGTCTTCACCACGTGGGGCGGCTTGGGATTATATTAATAGATAACGCGTGTGTTTCGATATACACTGTGACCACTCTAAGGTGTTACGTCAATTCAGTATACTGTTTAGTTTGTTATTACTGGATACTGTTTAAAACGGAACCCAGTGAAAAAAGTTTTGTATTTCCGTCTCATCGGACTATGAGAGTGAGGAAATAGAGAGTGCACCAGTGCTTGCGCATACACTCGTGCACTATATATAATCCTATCCTGCGCAGATGGCTAGTCCCCGTTAAGACTGGCCGCCGCGACTGAAATTTGGTCTGTAAGACATTACTATTATTATTATATCTGCTTATTTTCAGGTTATACCTCCAGGGGGCGCTAGCGATCAGTGAAATTGGCTTCGCGAACCACGAAACCATCGCCTACGAATATCTCTCTCAGGCGTTCTCTCTGTATGAAGACGAGATATCCGATAGTAAAGCTCAACTAGCTGCCATAACGCTCATTATTGCAACTTTCGAGCAGATAAATTGCTTCGGTAAGATTTCTCCTTTAATTTGTCTCTTTTTTGTCGTGCAATGGCGTTGTAAGAATATACACTATCATATATTATCATGTGGGTGCCGTAAGAGGTGACAGAGGGAAGCAAACCAGGTGATGGGCAGCAGCGTCTTCCTAATAACATAGTAAAAAAAAACTGTGGTAGCCAACTTGCCTGCCAATCGTGGCAACTAAGGCAAATATTACCCCTATGAGGTAATCAATAGGCAGGCCTATGTTCAGATGTGCTCTTAATGGGCTGTAATGGTGTGTTGTTCAGGGTTTGACCAATAGTTTTTGAGTTATTCTTAATTATTTATACTGAAGTCGGTTCTCAAAATGTTTATTTTTAAATTATTAACCATTGTGAGTCTACTATCAGATAGCAAAAAACGAAATATGAATGCTTCTTAGACCTGTCGAGAGCTTTTAACCTGGTGTCGTATCGTATTCTATGGAAAAAACTTGCCGAATGTAATTTTGCTATAGATCTCCTAGGTATCTTAAGGAAGGCGTGAGACAAAGTGGAATTAGTTCACCTCAACTTTTTAACTTGTATATAAATGAGCTGCTCGAGAGACTCAGCAGCACTAAGGTCGGTTGCCATGTGGATGGAAAGTGTGTCAGCAACCTAAGTTACCCCGAGGACATATGTAGGTGCTGAGTCCCTTGGTCAGTGCGCTCAGAAAGTTTCTGGGAATCTGTGAGGCTTATGCAAATGAGCACGGTCTTCTTTATAAAAACATAAAACGTAAATACTCACACCTGTCACCCAGAGGTGTAGGCAGAGACTACGGACTTCCATTTGACACGATCCTGACACACCTCTGTCTTTTTGTTGTTTTTTTTATAGAATTAGGGTGACAAACGAGCACACAGTCCATCTGATGATAAGTGGACGCTGCGGCCCATAGACATCTACATTTCTCCACAGTTAAGAATCAAAATGCAAATGCGTTGTCACTCCTGAGGACTAAGATGCTTCCAGTAAAAAGAATCTTCGATTCTCTCGTAGCTCTACCACGTAAATGACGATTTTCAGATCACGATTATCAGAGACGATTTCAGATTCACGACTTTTTCTGCCACCAGGTCGGTGCCACTAGAAAGTGACGTATAATTCACAGATTTCATAGCGGGGAAGTTAATTTGTTCATAAAATGTAAAATTTGTTGTTTCTGTCTGTACTATTAGCTATATTTTGTATTAATAACATTAAAAATAAATAAACCAAACCACAGATATTCATAAAATTAGAAAAATGAAAAAAGAAAGCTAAAAATGTGCAAAAAATTGAAGAGCAAACCACTGACGCATTAATAATATAATACTCTAGAAACTGATAAACTTTTATTAAAAAACAGTTCAATTAAATGAGATTGTGTAACAAAAATTTTACCTCAGTGTCAACTAGCGACATCTGGTGAGCAGAAAATTTTTAGCTCTCATTGTGTAGGCAATGGGCTATCCACCTCTCACTTCTTTCACAATTTTTCATCTAAACCAATGTTTTGGTTGAACATGGTCGGATGAGGTCCACTCTTTGGATTCTGTTTACTCCCTATAATGTATAGTAAATATAGTATTTATTTAAATACTTCAGGCGCTGAAAACGCGGAGCCAATGCGAACTCAATGTGCCTTAGCCGCGAGTAAATTACTGAAGAAGCCGGACCAGAGCAGAGCGGTGGCTCTGTGTGCACATCTCTTCTGGAAGGGGGCTAAGGATGGCAAGCAGGTACTAACTTATTTAGTACAAAACTATTTCTGTATTTTTTATTTCCACTTTATTATGTTAACGTATTGTTGTCCCGAAATTCCACGTCAAGTTATCAGAAAAATTAAAAAAAAAAAACTTACACATACTTTTTATATTATAGACATCTATACAAATAAATAAAAATGAAGTGTCTTTTTTAATAGCAGAGGGGGCAAACGAGCATGCGGCTCACCTGATGGTAAGTGACTACCGCCGCCCATGAACAACCGCAACACCAGGGGAATTGCAGAAGCGTTGCCGGCCTTTTAAAAAGGAGTAGGCTCTTTTTTTGAAGGTCCCTAAGTCGTATCGGTCCGGAAAAATCGCTGGTGGTAAACTATTCTACAAGGAAGTTGTGCGAGGAAGAAAACATCTTCTAAATCGCACAGTGGTGGACCGCCAATCATCCAGATGGTGTGGATAGTATCGGGAGTTCTGCCGCGATGTGCGTTCGTGAAATTTAGCGGCTGGGATTAATCCGAACAATTCCTCATAACACTCCCCTTGGTAAATACGAAAGAAAATGCAAAGAGATGCAACATCTCTTCGCAGCGCCAATGAGTCGAGCCGATCGGAAAGGACTCGGTCGTCAACGATTCGAGCCGCTCTGCGCTGGATGCGGTCAAGTGGAAGGAGCTGGCACTGGGGAGCTCCAGCCCAGAGATGGGAACAGTATTCCATGTGAGGCCGAACCTGCTGCTCCTTGTAAAGTTGCAGGCGGTGTGCCGGCATGAAATACTGTCTTGCTCTGTTGAGCACGCCAAGCATTTTAGAGGCTAAATTGACCTTCTTTTCCAACTGACCACGAAACTGCACGTCACTCGATATGTCGACGCCGAGGATTCCGATACTGGCTGAGACAACAAGGGGAGTACCTTGAAACTGAAGAGATACGACAAAGGGGTTCTTTTTAGCGGTAAATGCTCAAACTTATGTCTTCTGAGGATTAAGCTGGACTAGATTTAGTCGCCCCCAATCCGAGACTTTGTCCAGCAAAGACTCGACTTCAGACACAAGTTTGTTCCGGTCAAGGTGTTTGTAATGTCAAAATAACAGCTTTTTACTATATGCATATGAACGTATATGCACTACTTATAACAAAAACACAATTTTTTAAATTTCTGTCTGTCTGTCTGTTTGTTCCGGCTAATTTTCTAAATGACTGGATAGATTTTGACAGGACTTTTACTGGCAGGTGTTATAAGGAGTAACTTAGGCTACTTTTATTTTAGAAAAAGAATTAGGGTTCCGTGCAAAAAATTTAAAACCCTAAATTACACGCGGGCGAAGTCGCGGGGAACAGCTTGTTTAAAAAAAATCAAGAAAATTGTCATCCTGTGATCAGAGGTGGATTAAATGTCGACAGCGCCCTAGGCTAGCACCACATAGCCGCCTCTTTGGCGGTCATATTATTATAATTACTAATTTTGCAAATAAACTATAATATTATAATTTATAATATAGTTCAGCTGCAAAATAATAATTCACGTAATAGGTGGGTGTGAATGAAAAACGTGATAAGCGAATGAGGGCGATGATGGTGTAATCAAGTAGACAGGGAGCGCTTTGGAAGTTCTACATCCCTATAGAAAGTATAATTTTTAAGTTAAAAACTTCCGCGCGCGCCCTTTTGTAACCTTGCGCCCGCAGGCACGTGCCTAGTTTACCTTAAGGATAATCCGCCACTGGCTGTGATGTGATCTTTTAAGTACTGGGCTAGAAATCTTTTTTTAATTTTTTTTGTGATTTAACCCTGAGTTATCCTGTAAAATAGCCTAAAATTAAAACACAACTGCCTCGGTTTCAAAGAAAACGTCACTCTTTGTGCAATTTGATTGTACTGAACAAATGTTCTAAGTTATTTTAGCAAGTGACTTTGAAAGATGGTGTTTTTGATTTTGATTGCCAAATGCACTTGTAATACACTTGCTAGATTATTTAAGCCTATTGTTAACGTACTACCGTTTTGTCTATGATATTATCCTTATCCCCTCATGTGCCCGACCAATATATGTTTTTACGCTTCAAGTGTCAGGGGCTGTTCGGGAGGTCGCGCGATACCGGTAGTCGTTAATGTAAACAATGGTATCTTTTTACTTTTGTATGTCAACTATATATAAAACTTATACGCATCGATTCGTTATGAATTAAGATATTTTTCTTTATAAATTATTAAATTCTATTTTTATAATATTATCAATCTCATTTCAAAATTGCGTGACGTAATTTTGGCCGGTTTCTTGTACATAAAGTGTAAGGATTATGAAATTGTCATTATTTAAAACGGTATTTGTTTTATTTGCTTAACAACAACAACAACATTATATCAAAAGATAAATAAAAAATCACATCCCATAAATATTTTTTTTCACACAACAAACTATTTAATATCTACCTCCTTTTACGTGGCAAAATAAAAACGAGTTAAAACAATCTAAAATGTTCAATTCGAAAACGTTTGAAAACGTTACATTACGGCCTTAATCTATGTTGTTCAAAGATTAAAACAGCGGTTTATCTTTGAACAAAATAGATTAAAGACAAGGTGTATTTAATTGTGAAATGGGCACTCGGGATCGGCTTACACACGGGCATGCATGCGCTGTCAACCCCCTACGGGTGTCATGACACTTGAGGGGTTAAACATTTCTTAAATATTATTTCTTACACTCATATTTATAACAAAATCTTTTAGCACTCGTATTCCGTGTGTATTATAAGGCCATAGAGGGAAATGAAACAGGTGATGGGCAGCGGCATCTTCCTGATAACAAATCAAAATAATAAAAATGGCGGCTGCCAACCCGCGTGTCAAGCGTGACAGCTATAGCAAATATCGCCCTTATGAGGCAGGCCTATGTTCAGCAGTTGACTTTGATATGCTGTATTCGTAAATTAATAATTTATTCATTTGTATAATGTTGTTTTCTAGATACATTTATATTTAATAAAATCTAAAATCACAGCATAATACATATTGTACAGGGTTATTTTACAATAACCGGATTTTACTGCGCACACATTCATAAGGTTCGATCGATAGACAAAAACGCTGTGGCCCATAAATCACTTTTTGGAAAATTTCATATAAAAGTAGAAAGCCTTATTTACTCGTATTTTCAAAAACTACAATAACGGTATATCATTATGGCTACTTTGAAAAATCACCCTGTATATAACTCGGCGCGCCTTAAGCGCCCACACTCGTTCACACTGAATGAATGGCGAAGCCATACAGTGCAGTCGAACGGAGTGATCGTTCGGATCTCGAAATACAGTGTGTAGTACATATCGATTGAATAAATATTTTCAGTGGCCTCTAAACGACGCGTCTCGAGCGCTTGACTGCCTGAAGAAAGGTGCCCGTGTGGCCCAGCAGTGTATGGATGGAGGAGTCCAGGCTCAACTCCTGGCTGAGCTGCTGGGACGATATGCACTGCTCCGGGAGAGGGGCAACGCCAGCCTCACCACTAACCTCATTGACGCTGTAAGTTAACTCACTCGATTTCACCGAGTCAGTAATTCATTATTGGGGTGATGTATACACTTTTACAATAACATCCCAAAAAATATACAAAATTTTACCTCCTCAAAGTACAAATACTTTTTTAAACTTAAGTTTTTATAAAAACGGTTAATATAATATTAAGGAATTTATGGATGATAATAACCCCTGAGAATGAGGTGATCTCTACCAAGTTATTTCTAATTTGTTTTACTATATACATATGAAAGTATATACGGAAATTATAACAAAAAAAAAAACAATTTTTAAAATGTTTGTATGTCTGTCTTTTTGTTCCGGCTGATCTCCGAAATGGCTGGGCCGATTTTGACGGGATTTTCATTGGCATATAGCTGATGTTATAAGGAGTAACTTAGGCTACTTTTATTTTAGAAAAGGAATTAGGGTTCCGCGCAAAAAAAATTAAACCCATGAAATCCAATCGTAATAAATTTCACGCGCACGGAGTCGGGGAAAACAGCTAGTAAACACATAAAAATAGTATCTCAGATACCAAGACGCTGTATTTGGGGTAGTGTTCAATGACTTGAGGGCTTGATCTCGTAATACTGTTGTGTATGTATTTTAAAGAAAATTGCAACTGTCTACCTAGAATAATCCGTAATAACGGATTATGAGGTACAACCCGCTGACGGACAGACGGACGGATGGACAGCGGAGGCTTAGTCATAGGGTCCAAGTTGGTTACCCTTTGGGTATGGTACCCTAAAAGCGGCCTCCGATGCCGAAAATAAGCTGTACCACCACAAAGTTAAGACCTCAACTCTAAAAGGTAGTGTTTAACCTGAACTTTATAATTCTAGGTTATCCAAAAAATACGAGAGGAGCTGGCCAACCTGGACCAGTCCGAGGAAGTGGAGCAAATCACAAAGCATTTCCACAATACGTTGCAGCATTTGAAGAATCGCATGGAGTGTCCCGATCCGGACGGTCTAGGTTACGAGGGATTAGTACTGTCTTAATTTCCATGAGTTGAGTAATGTTTAGTGTTTGAGAAATATTGAGGAGAGGTAACAACAAAGTTGGTAATAGAGCAAGATTTGTTGTAAGTAAAAAAGTTTTAATAATTAATTAAATATAGTAAATAGCTCAATCTTGGAAAAGAGTTACTTATGTAATGAAGCAACTAAATTCTTCAAAAGTTTGGGTAGGAATCAAATTTGGCAGAAAGTATTTTCTCATGTATCAAACATTCAAATAAATAACGTCCTTGTTCAATTTAGTAAATATTATGCAAGAAATAATTTAATTCAATGGAAAAGCAAGCTGGCGTTTTGCATACATGTTCAACGATATCTAAATTGGATAGGGATTTGCACACTATTTTCAACTATATTTGAATTGGATAATGTAAATATTTATTATCAGTGGAAATAATTGTAAATATCCAATTTTATTTTAAATTAATCAAGCAAATTATTTACAAGTGAGCCATGTAAGTTGTTTTTTTTTTATCAATAGATATTGGAATGTATTATTTATCTAGCGTAAGAAACATTCCTGTTTTAATTAATGACATTTTGTGTTCGTAGACTGGCTGTTCCAATATACATTGCGAGCACTGCTCAGTGGTCTCGATGGTGAAAAATTCGTTCCGTTATGGACTGCCAGTACACTGCCGCAGTACCCTACGGAAATATATGACGTCATAAATCGCCACTATTTTTGTACTGTGAGCACTGGCGCTTTCTAGGTAAGGTGCTCTCAGTACTATGGATCACGTGATCAAAAAACATAACATTATTAACAGCAGATTTAACAGTTTCCACGAATGATTGTTATTATTATTAATTGAACGTAGTTATACAAAAACGTTTCAACCTACAAGTCATTCATATTTTGACATCTTCACGAAGTTTGAGTTATAACGTTTTTGTATAACTACGTCCGACTAATATTGTTATTCAAACAAACTCGGACATTAAGGTGAAATGGGCACCAAAACAGATTTTTCATGTGTTATGGGAGCGCAGAAAATCAATTTTTTGTCATTAAAAACTACGAATTCGCCTTTTTTTAAAAATCATTATGAAAATTAAAGATATTTCTTAGTGAATTATGATGGCCAAAACACGATTGACAGATTTTGGCTCGATACAAAAAAATCGCAAAGTTTTCTCAAAATCTGCAATTTTAGGTACGTCTGTTAAGGTAAAAAGCAGTTTTATTCGAATATAATTAAAGTAATTTCAATTAAATTCTGTCTATGTGTTCACCAGTAAATACATGGGAGATTTATGGGTTTATTTTTCAATAAAAGAGTATATTTAATTTTAAAAAGAAATATCAAAATAAATATAGTGCAATAAAATTGCGCGCGGGCTGGCCAAGCAGGAGCATATCGCCGCTCCCGCGTCCCGCCAGTCGTCCGCAGCGCGTCATAGAAAGCACCTGTGTACAACTTTATCACGCCCGCTGTCGTCGTCTATACAACTAAAAAATTGGAAGGGATTAGTACCTAAGTCACAAAAATGGTAAATAAACGTAACAAAATAAAAAAATATTCACGACTGAAGCTCAAGAAACTGAAATTGTTGAACCTGAATAGGTAAGTTTTTTTTTTATATTTATCACTCCATATTATGAATATTTATACAATATATAAAATATTTATATATTATATTATAATTATTCTCTAAATCATAATAATATATATACATATTAATTGTAATAAATTATAATATACCTATATGTAATGATATTTCATAATTTATAATATTGTATTGAATTTGCAAGTGTTGAGTTCGACGACTCGACCATAGCGCAATGGCTCAGCAATGAGTTACAGCGCTAAGGGCCGCGGGTTCGAATCCCGCACGGGACAAGTATTTGTATGGCCTACAAATATTTGTTCTGGGTCTGGATGTTTGTCCTTGTGAAATTTATGTTTGTAAACTGCCCCCACGATACAGGAGAATCTCCTAGTATGAAGGTAAAGTTTTTTTAAAAAAAAAATTGGAAGTAGCCTTGACATCATAATTTGTTTATATTTTGATAATTCGAGTAGCAGTCTCGTACCGACAGGCGAAGTGTTGGGCCTCCCCCCACTAGACGGAGTGACGACCTAATAACGTACAGGAAGTCAATGGATGCAGGTGGCTTGATCCCGTACTTTGTGGCATTCCTTGGGGGAGGCCTATGTTATGTGGATTTGTGAAGGACTGTAATGATGATCATGATCATGATCTGCTCTGTATCTGTATCTTATTATTATTTTTCTTATTATTGTAATATGCACAAAATCTTCATTTTATAGTAGAAACAGATATGGTCTAAAGTTTCTGTGTATCACAGCAGACTTATGGTATATATTTTTACAGAACTCTTGTCAACGCTAAGTCTGACATTGTGGAACTGCCAGCTGAGCAGTTACAGAGCACAAGTGAATCCGTCGCTCCACCACAATATCCAGAAACATTTGACGGGACAGTAGTGGAACTACAATCAGTATCGCCCAGTTTTTTTGAGTAAGCTCACTTATGTACCTACCTACCCCCGCACTTATACTAGAGAAATCCTGTCTTACTTTTACATTTTATATACAAGTAAATAATCTATTGTAATGTCAAGCAAAAAAAAATTCCTTTCAACTGGTGTCGCGGGTATCGGTGAAACCTAAGGTTTTTGGTTATATGGTAAGAACCTAAGTTCTTGTCGTGAATCGAACGCGGCGTAACAGATATAGAGAGACTAAATGCGGCAGCCATATTGTCGAAAAGTAATGTGCATCCTATCCCTACTAATACCCGCGATACCCGCGACACAAGTGATAGGGTTTATTATTTTTTGTTTTACATTACAATAGGTAAGTTACTCTTCGTACGCACAGAGAAACGCCAATTTGTATTCAGAAGTCATAAAAGGGTTGATGAAATGTTTTTATTTAAAAAATAGATTTTTTGTAAAACCGGTATTTTTATTTGCTGGGACTGGAATTTGATGAATATCAGTTTCAGTTAAAAAAGTTTTTATTTACTTATACTTTATATACAATGATGGTACACAAGGTGTACTTCTCATAGCCATTATCTACGAGCCAATCTTATCATCTTGCTACCGATGTCACATGTACATATACATATTATATATATTTCTAATTATTTATAATTGTTTCAGCACCTCAGAAAAAGTACTTGGTACTGAAAGAATTACAGGAACGGTCTCTCCGCAAATTCTAGAAATATCTGATATGGCACCAGTGAACCTTCAGCCAGTGTCAGTCACACCACCGCCATGTGTGACCGAGTAAGTTTACCCTCCAGTCAAATTATAGTATTTTTATGCTAATAGAGAAGGAGACGAGCAGATCGTTCGCCTGATGGTGAGTGTCACGACCTGTCTATAATATCTGCAGTGCCACTCAGAGCAATGCAAGTTCTGCGTGGCACTCATTCTTCCCAGTAATTACATAGTGCCTTATTTATTATAATAAAACAGTAATCAGGGTGAAGCTTTGAAAAAAAAAAACGTAACATACGTTTGCATTGAATATTTAAAAAAAGGTGGAGTACTGGCTGTAAAATTTACTCCACCTTTTGAAACTATTTACAGTGTGAATAGTCACATCTTTACGCCAGCTTTTTTATGGTTATTATTTTGTGGAGGCTAAAGAACCAGCATCAATACTGGTTTATAGTAATAATATAAATAAATATCTATTGGTATTAGTTATATATATTTATATAAATAATATAATACGCGTTTTACTCAATGTTTCAGAGCCCCCGAAGACCCGCCTTATATAGTGGAGCAAGAGTGTGAGACAAACTCGATCAAAACAATCACCGGTCGCAGAATTGTTGACATCGTTTATTTTTTGGAACAATTGCAACAGCAAAAACACGACCCTCTATTTCAGTGTGATTTCAGTTGCTTGGTTTTAATAACAGAAAAGCGCACCGGCCTCGTTTCACATTTCAATTTCCAATGCAGGATGTGCAAGAAATATTTCAAGGTGTGTACTGATCATTTGGACACTGATCGTATAGATATTAACACTGCAGCAGTCTCAGGTATAGTAGCCTCTGGGATTGGGTACTCACAATTCGAAGAGACTATGTCTGCTATGGACGTTCCTATTTTCCGTGAAAAATATTACGCGAAAATTCAAGATCACATGTTCAATGAATGGGAAGCTACAGCAGTGGAGGCAATGGAACAAGCTGCTGCTATTGAACGTGAGGCAGCAATTCAAGAAGGGAGGGTTTTTAATGGTTTCCCTGTGATTGATGTGTTTGCGGATGGTGCATGGTGTAAACGCTCTTATGGCAATAACTATAAAGCAATGTCAGGTGTTGCTGCAATCGTAGGTCGAAAATTTGGAAAAGTTCTTTTCATTGGCGTCAAAAATAAATATTGCCTAATATGTGCAAGAGCAGAGAAACGTCAGGAGAAACCGAAAAGTCACGTTTGTTATAAAAATTATGAAGGCCCGTCCAGCGGAATGGAAGCGACAATCGTGTGCGAGGGTTTCAAAGAATCCACCAATATGTATGGGCTAATATATGGCAATATTGTGGCTGATGGTGATTCTGCAACCTATGCTAAAATATTAGCATCAGATCCGTATGAAGGCTACGTAGTTTCGAAAATAGAATGCCGAAATCACGTTCTGCGAAATATGTGTAATAAGCTGCGTGCACTAGGTAAAGATACAAAATACCCAAAAGTGCAGAGAAAACATATTACCGACGAGAAAGTTATGAGTATGAGAAAAGTCGTCACAACTTCAATCAAACACAATAAAAATAATCCCAGGGATATCGCTATAAGACAAATTCACGAAGACATAACCAATTCATTGAACCACGCATACGGGGACCACAGACGTTGCAAAGATTATTGCTGCTCTAAAGATAAATCCATTTTGTCATCAACTGTGGGAGAGCTTGAACACTCGACATTTTGGTTTCGGCTAAAAGTCATTTTAAATTCGGTAGCCTCAAAATCTCGGAGTCTACTGGAAGACGTTGACACCAATGCTGTTGAGAGATTCAACAGCGTGGTTGCCAAATTCGTAGGAGGCAAAAGAATCAATTTTGCTTCTCGACGATCATATCAGGCGAGATGCTCTGCTGCTGTTGTTTCCTACAATACCAAACGACCTCTTTACACCCTACATAAAAAAATATTGGGAAAGAGTCCTGTGGGCAGCTTACAAAAACTAGAAGGAAGGAGAGAGCAAAAAAGAAAGCAAGCCAACGCTGTGAAAAGAAAAAAAAATAGAACTAAACTTTTCGAGAAACAAAATGACTATGGTGGACGAGTAGCTGCGCCAGATATGTCTGTCGAAGACTATAGTGCAGCGTCTGCAGATTTTATGACGAATCTGAATACACTGGTTTGTGACCGGGAGGGAATACAAAAACGGACGACACTGCAACGCGAAAGCACTGAATGGTTACAAATCAGGAGATTGATGCTAACTGCTTCAAACTTTGGAGCAATAATAAAGAGAAAAAAAAATTTTGCTGCTCTCGTGAACAACATTTTATATAAATCAAATATTTCATCTATCGCATCAGTGGCACATGGACTCAGCAATGAAAAATTCGCGCTTCAGCAACTGAGCAGCCAAGAAAACTTACGGATTGAGGAATGTGGACTTTTTGTGGACCATGAATTTCCTTACATTGGTGCCACTCCGGATGGAGTCGTAGGAGAAAATACAATCGTTGAGGTCAAATGCCCTGTAGCTGCCTTCAAAAACGGCATGGAAAATGCTATCAAACAAAACAAGGTTCAAATTCTAAAGTTCAACAAAAAGAATGGCCAAGTTACTATAAATAAAAATAGTAACTGGTACTATCAGGCTCAAGGGCAACTACGAGTGACGGGCAAGCAGAGATGCGTTTTCGGGATATGGGGAGGGGAAAACGAAAAAATGGAAGTTATATATGTCCAAAAAGATGAGGACTTTTGGAAAAATAAAATGGAGGCAAAACTGGTCAACTTTTACCATACGCAAATTCTCCCAGAGTTGGTAGATTCCCGCCGAAACCGTGGTATGCCATTGAGAGGTAGTGAAAAATAATTTCTAGCCTATAATTGACTCGCAAAAGCGCTGTGCGCTTTTCGTATATAATAAATATAATAAAACCAGATATACCAGTTTTTCATTCCTATAAAAATCAGTTTTATAATTTTTCGTTTTTTTGCATTTTTATAAAACCGGTTTTAGGTATAACCTGTTTGGATGCCGTCCTTAGTCCTAGTATCCACTAAAACAGTGTGCTAGTGACAAGTAATAAACATGTAAATGTACTAAGTATATTTATAAATACGAACTGATAAGTAAAAGTTTCTTATATGTAAGAGGGAACTCATATGTAACAGATATACTTGTAAATTACACTTGAGTATGCCTAGGAACATTCCAAGTGATAAGAATTAAAAAAAAATTAGATGGTACTTATTAGTTTACAAGAAGCGTCTTGGACGGTGGTGTTCAAATAAAATAATTACTTTTCAAAATGACAATAAAGTAGTTATATACCTCAGTACGTATGTAGTTTATTTTCATGTTGAAAAGTAAGTATACGTCGACTCGTAAGTAAGTACATAGACATAGGTACGAGTCGTATCATATCAGGTACAACCTGTCTATAATACCTATGTACCAACCTAATATTATTTTTATTTTAAAATTAATTCACAGTATAATATTATTATAAATATAACACATTAGATAGGTATATAAAATCCAATAAATTAAAAAGATATACATCATACAAATAACTAGTCAGTATCATCATCAGCAGTCAGGTAGGTTGTTATCGAGGCCGACTATCATCACTCGTCACATCATATCTCTTTTAGTGCACCCAATTACGTAAAAAGTACGTTTTTCATAAAAAAAACTTTTTTATGAAGAACGTACTTTTTTACTTACTTTTTTTATGAAAAACGTTACCTCCACACAAGGATTTTCTTCTGTACCGTGGGGGCAGTTTACATACATAAATTTCACAAGGACAAACATCCAGACCCGTAACAATTATTTGTATGACATACAAATACTTGTTCCGTGCGGGATTCGAACCCGCGGTCCCCAGCGCTACAACTCATTGCTGAGCCACTGCGCCACGGAGCCGTCAATCTGAAACTATTTTATAAATAAACGCTGGTTATATCAATAACATATATTTACATGTATAATACGTAGTACACAATATATTTGTATACTACGTATTATACATACGCATGTATTCAACTATTAGTGGGTGTTGAAATAATCCTATATTTATGAAAGTGCGATCTGTAGCTTATCGCTATTGCTCGCAGCTGGCCGGGTCAGCGAGGAGCCCCGCGCGCCGGTCGCCCGTCCGCGTCTGCTTCACCCCCTAAGAATCTTCATGACCACGATACTATTTCGCCTTAAGTTTTAAACGCAACAACACTCAAATAATTTTTTTTTGTTAAACAGAAAACGTCTGCGTGATAAATATTTTCATTTGAAAACAGTGTCGAAAAATGCGGTTCACAGTATACTGGACTGTGTTCCGTTTTAAAGAGTAACCAATATAGCAAACTGAAAAAGACCGGCTTCACAGTATACTGAATTGACGTCACACCTTACTGTGGTCACTGTGTATATCGGAACACAGCTTATGTATTAAGCCAAGTTTGAATATTGAAAATATTAGATTATTGGATCAATGGGCAGGGTACCTGTAGGTAGGTAGCTGGTGCGAATTTTGTTTTTTCACTAATTTTTTCTTATTCAATGTTGGTAGTAAGAATATTATGTTTAAAATATATCCTGAATATATTTTGTATTGATCTGCGAGTTACAACTGACAGCACAATGCATCTAAAGAGTATTGCTTCGGAAATCAAGTTCAAGACAAAATTGCAATTATATCTCGGTTCGGGTTTTTTGATTTGGGTCGCCTGTCACAGCGAAATCTTTTCCTGCTACAAAGCTTACAAATGAGTGGAAACCTGTACCTAATTTTAGGACATACATACATAAATTATGTAGGCTGTGTTATTTTACCGAGCTATGGATTTGAAATCTTAATATATTTATTTATAATTTAAAACCAATCTTTTAGTTTTGCGCAGCTGTAACCAAAACTTAGAAACCAGCAACAGGAACTAAACTTACTACAAATTTACATCCCACTGCTGTGCAAACGCATGCATGAGATCGCCCATTAAGCAAAATATAATTACAATGCAAGTTCATTTGTAGGATTGTGCTGTCAGCAAATAAGATTTAATATTTATATTATGTAAGGAATTAGATTTAGTTTAAGGATTATGTAATTGAGATTGTTAGTCCATTAACAAAGCAATATACGAAATGTTTTATATTTACGTGTTGTTTTATTTACGAACTAGCTGGGTACCCGTCGCGTTACTGCCACAGAAGAAATAATTGTGAAAATATCGTTTTAAATTTGGAAGAATTATAATATTGTTTAATTAGTAATGATGTGTAATACATTCATTGAAATTGATTGATATATTATAACTTTCAAATCTATTTGTCAGAACGATACGAACGCCACCTACTGTAAGTTGCCAACGCTCCGAATTAGGCGTGTGTATCTCTTTACGGAACCGACTCACTGATCCAAATCACTGAAGTGATACATAAGATTGGTTCAGTAACAACGTTTCAAATGCATCTTTTGGATCTGGAACAGTGAAACATTACTTTGCTCTGTGCTCATTTCGCACGACGCGTCGCTTGCGAGGCGACTGAGCCACGAGCGAGAGAGACAGATTGAGACAATGATTAACTTAACTATTTACTCGCGAGTGGCGAGTGAGCGGGCGAAATAATTATAATCCACACAAGTCAGATAGAGATAAAAAAATAAGAAGTGTATCACTCAACTTGTACGGATTTTCGCTGTCGTTATTCATGCACATAAAAATTACCCCAAGGCGCTTACGTGTCAAATACTATACGGTCGTTTTTTGTATGTAATGTTTGCATTAACAAGTTGTCATTTTACGTTGATGCGGCACTTGTCAAATTATTTATGTTCATTAGCGCCTGTTTACGAAAACATACTGAGTTCTGTTTAGGATTTCTTTGCGTAGTGATTATTGTGACTTACTTTCTTCCTTTTCATCATAAAGTTGGAGAAAGAGTTATAAGACTTTACGAGATAATGTGTACATAGACATTGTTGTTTTGTGTAAATTGACATTTTTATAAATAATGAATTGACATAGTGACATTTTTATTAAAGTATGAAGGAGGATCGATTTTATATACAATCTTATTACGGTACACAATAAATAACCTAAGCACTTATATTATTCAGCATTGTTGCCACATAACATTTCACTGATCAGTCAGTAATAAACGCCCGCGACGCAACTTAATGTATTCGGAACATTCTGTATTTTATATCTTTTTAGTCGAAGATCCAAATGAGCCAAATGAAACATATCAGTGTTTCGGAACATTTCAGTGATCGAGATGCAAACGTTCCAATCGCAAAAATGATACACTTTGCCCACCTCCACTTCGAATGGTAGTTCGGAGCTATTCTATATATGTTGCTTTTAACTTCAGAACTTTGTAAGCGTGATTTAGGCTTCGATGTATTTCGCTTGTGGCGCGACGACAGCGCCGCCACAACCGCAATCTGATGAACACTATGGCAGCGCATAAAATACGAACAAACATTAATTTTTATATATTAGATATTGCATTAAAATATTTTGTTTAAGGTGGAAGCGCCAGGGTAGCCAGCGAATTTCAAATTTTCTTACGTTTTTTGCAATTTGCAGGTCAGTGTCAGGTTGCATGTTTAACAAAATATTATTCGCGACCGTAACGAGTATGTATTTACAAAATTACAATCATCAATACAACCGTCTATGTTTGTATAATTCCAATATATGGCAATTTCCAGAAAAAACTCATTCATAGGGATTATATGAACTTAGAGGGTTGTATTGGTGATTTTAATGATAATAATTCTATAAATATATACTCGTTACGGTCGCGAATCATATTTGGTTAAACATTCAACCTGACCATAACCTGCAAATTCCAAAATACGCAAGAAAATTTGAATTTCGAGGGCCACCCTGGAGCTTTCACCTTATATTATATTATATAGTTCCTCTATTAATTAATACAGCCTCTATGTTGTATATCGCAAAACACACAGACATGCATACATTGGTTCTTCTTTCGGTTTGACGAATCTCATATTTGATATGTATTTTTAGAAAATGATGATGATTATCATCATAGCCTATCAAAACTCCACTGTTGATTATAATGATGTCTTATATTTAAGCGAACAGTACACATTTAAATAAAACTAGTTTTCCGGATTTTATCGCGTATATTAACTTATTTTATATTCCCGACGTTTCGAGTACTTTACAGCACCCATGGTCACGGGGGGGGGGGGGGGGGGGGGACTGAGGTGTATGACGTCGCAATGTCATAGTTAACCACGGCTAAT